ACACTACCCTGGGGGCATCCACGCACCGTGTAACGCACTCCGGAGATTTTCCCGTCTGGACCTTTGACAACTTGCGCCCTATAACTAAGATAAGATCTAAACCATTTAGGATTAACACCATACCAACTGAGCTTTTCAAAAAGTATTTCCCTCACAATGACGTCAAATGCACGCGACAGGTCTAATGCTGCTAATATACAAATATTACCTTTGTTTAGCTGTTCATATATGGATTCAGTAACAGCCACCATTGCTGTTTCGCATGAGTGCCTGTTCCTGAAGCCAAACTGCCCTCTATATAGCATATTGTTGTCATCGAAGTGCTTAACAATCTGTGAATGGGCCACTTTTTCAATAACTAGAGACAAGAAGGGTTGCACAGCTACAGGACGATAGTGCGCTGGTTCAATTGGTGAATCAATTTTTGGCAATGGTGTAATAGACCCAGTTTTCAGACAATTCGGAAATTCCTCTTGCATTAATGACCCATTCACAAGTTTGGTAAGAGCATTGCTTATGTTTGGACACCTGATCGTATAATTAAGCATAATTGGTGCAAGACCTGTGCTGTCATGAGCCGTCCTAGTTCTAGTTCTCAGTTTGTTGTATACACGTATTAAGTCATAAGTGGTTATTTTTGTAAATTTAAATTGTGCGTCATAATCAAGTCCAGATGGTTTAGTGGGGTGCACACAATCAAACTCCTCATTCGATACACCTGCATAAAAGTCATTGAGTATATCAATATCCAGCTGATTATTAGTTTGATTCCTCATGAATAGTTGTTTTTTGGTTTTCCATACCCCATTCTTGCTAATGTCAGCATCAATTTTACGCCTACAGTCAAGCTTAAACATTTTATTTATGTGTGCATTCAATATCTTTAGTCGAGTCTTGGTCAGATGTGTGGGAAACTTTTTATGCTGTTCGTACAACTTATTTCTGTTTAAAGTAAGTAATTTGGTATCATCCGACATGTATCGAGGTGTCGATGATTCCCTAATAGATTTGGTCAAAATAGGTGCGTATTCGTCAAAAAGCTGTATGTGTTTGTGTATAAAAGTCTTACATGCATCATCAATTGTTAATAAGTGTAACCCCTCCAAGTCCATTTCGACTACTCTCTCCGCCAGCCTCCTAGTATCCAATTTACGATACGACCTAAACTGAATAACTCTTTTTTTCTTTGGTACCCGAGTTACTAGCCTGTCTATTATTGTGGATTCGTGATCAGATATAAATGGTTGATTCACACAGGCGCCATTAATATTCTTATCGTCATTCGATATGATAAGGTCGAGTCTCGCCTTTCCTCTCGTGGGGTTTTGTATCAGTTCCAGCAGTCCCAGTCTGTTCAATACATTATTAAATTTTTTGATGTGAGATTTGTGTGTGTCCTCAAGGTGTATATTATAGTCACCACGTATGTAAAAATATAAACCTGTCTTAAGGTGTGCATGAAAAATACTTTCAAATTTGTCTATGTCAGTATTTGTCAATATAAACTTGGGGCGACAAAGACATGAAACCATAAAAGATTTTTCATTACCACTTTGGAATTTCAGAGTCAATATTTCTATTTTTGAATTGTCGATGTCCATCTCCGCTAATTGCATTATCTTGCATTTATGATGATTCCTATATAGCACGGCCAATCCACCTCCCCCTCCTGTTCTGTCCAATCTTATAATTGCATAACCTGGAATAGAGATAATTTGTACATTCTGATCAAGTTTCGTTTCAGTCATGCAGAATATATCAATGTTATTAACATGCAAATAATCCGATAAATTAAAAATTTTATATCTTAATGAGTTAACGTTTAAATGTCCAATCCGTAATGGTCCGGTCGTCTTATCCTTAGGTATTGTAGGTTGAGTAGTGCCCTGTAGTCAATCCTCATCCATAATCGAGTTATCGCCAGCTTTATGCTGTTTCACCGCTCGTGTCTGTGATTCCGAAGACGTCGCATTATCGTTCCTCTTCCTCTTTGAATCCTGTCTGGTTGTCATTTTTGACGTCCTCTCTCTTGAGTAGTTGTCCTTCCACTCCTCCTGTTGTTTTCGCGTGAGATCACGACGCACGGCAATTGTTTTTAGATCTTGGTGGTCCTTTAACTTCCAGCAATTACGCAGCGCCTCCGACTTCTCCTGAGCGTTGCGTAGGGTGACCCGTAGTGGACGCGGGTGTGGGCTTTTCCGATTTGGATCCCCGATTCGGATATTTGGTAACGCTTCCGTCCACGCGGGCAGAATGATTCCCATCACCTTTGTCGCTGCGGCGATGCCCTCCTTTGTTTCCGGTACACCCATCATGACGATGTTGAGAACTTTATGTATTCGGCGGGTCTGTTCTTGCATTTCTTCCCGAACTTGAGCTATTTCAGAGTGCACATCTGCCGCTACTTCATCGATTTTCTTTTCATACCTGTTCACTTTCATTCATTTGACTGATTATGAGGGTGAATGATAGTGAATGAAAATGAATTTCCTGTGATTTGAATGAAAATGAATGAAAGACTCCCATATTTCAGATGAATGATTGTGAATGAAAGAATTTCTCACTCCTTTCATTTTTCCCCTATGCTTAATACATGGGACGAAGTAAGAAATGAAGTCAGATGAAGTGAAATGAAATGAGTTTGAAAGAAAATGAATGCAGAAATCAGGATGATTGAACTTTGAATGACAAGTTTTTTTGAACAGGTATAAGCAAATATCGGGCCGGGGAACTGATCGCGATTCCACCCGGGTTCGAAAGTCACAACCCGACCGGACCGGATTACGAGTATCTTGACGATGTCGGAATAAGTGGTCCCCTAATTTCTCCGAAAGAAGAAGGAAAATCTACGGGGCGAGGTTTCATCAAAAAAAAGAAGGATAATAAAGTTTCGAAATATCGGAAAGATGAGGTGGTAGCAGTGCCACCCGGGTATCCCACGCATAATCCGAGTGGACCGGATTATGAGTATGTGACCGATGCGGGGATAAGTGGGCCGCTTATTTCCCCGAAAAAACCGGGACAGTCTACCGGTCGGAGTTTTAGCAAGAAAGCAAAGGAAAAAGCATCGAAATATCGGACCGGTGAAGTTGTAGCCATTCCACCCGGGTATCCTACGCACAATCCGAGTGGTCCGGATTATGATTATGTCACTGATGTTGGAATAAGTGGACCACTAATACCTCCGAAAAAATCCGGACAATCCACCGGTCGGAGTTTTAGTAAGAAAGTAAAGGAAAAAGCTTCAAAATATCGAAAAGGCGAAGTTATCGCGGTCCCACCCGGGTATCCTACGCATAATCCGACAGGCCCGGATTACGACTATGTGACCGACGCCGGAATAAGTGGGCCACTAAAATCCCCGAAAAAACCCGGACAATCTACCGGTCGAAGTTTTAGCAAGAAAAGTAAAGCTTCGAAATACCGAGCCGGTGAAGTTGTAGCCATTCCACCCGGGTATCCCACGCACAACCCGACCGGTCCAGACTATGAGTATGACACCGACGTTGGGATAAGTGGACCTCTCATACCAGGGAGGAAACCGACATCAACGGGTCGCGGGATGCAAGGAAGCGAGAGTAAATATCGGCCTGGCGAAGTGGTAGCGATCCCACCGGGATACGAAACGCATGACCCGACTGGTCCGAATTATGAGTATCATGACGACGTTGGGGTCAGCGGGCCACTTATCCATCCCCCCGGAGCGGAACTTGAGGCTCCTCCTCCATCTCCAAGTGCGCCGCTTATCTCACTAAAACCTAAATCCCCGACAAATCCGAATGGGCGTTCCATCCTGAAAAGTTCTCATCCAGCTTCTTCTCCAGTTATTACGCTGGAGAAACCTTCTTCCGGAGAAAATGCGGTCCCTGCACCGACTCCGATCCATAAATCGGGGGGGATTGTCGCCAATGTCTTCCAAAAAATGGAAACGACTCCAGCAGATGAAGATGAAGATCTGCCCGACTTTGATTATGAAGATGACACCGAAATAAAAACGCCCGCTCCGACAATTCGGATCAAAAATAAACTGGGTGGAGAACCGAAGCATATTTTTGAAGTTTTTGATGAGGTTTATTCCTCTACGTTGCTATCCATCGCGACGACCACGTGGGGTGGAAGGGAAAATGATGACCTAACCTTCCCCTCCTCTGCCTCCTCTTCTGCCTCCGTGGAATCGGAATCGTACGAATATGACGAAGAGTTCTATCGAGTCTTTGACTATGCCTTGTCCCCAAATGGAGAGTATGAGTATGACGAAGAGTACGACTATTCGTCGTCGTCGTCGTCGTCAGAGTCACGTGAGTTCCGGGCACGTGGTGATGATTATGACTCGTCGTTTGAAGAATATTTTGATGATGAAGAAGAAGAAGAGTCGTCTTCCGAGGAAGAAGATGAAATTAGTCCGAAAACGCGGAAATACAGCAGCGCGTCAGACTCTGGGTGGGGTTATGCGTCTGCGAGTAAAAAAGAAGGGGGGTCGAGGCGAACGGATTTCAATGTGGGTGAATTACAACCACCCCCCGCGGCGGGAAGGAGAAGGGCTAATTATTACATTAGGGCTTAACTTTTTTAAAGGGAAAAATGGGAAAATAAAAATTCGACGCATAACATTTTGCTCGTGATTTATTAATTTGCACAGAATAAGAGAAGTTAAATAGGAATTAACATTTGCATATGTAATTTTGCACGTGCAAAACATCTTTTACAGTGCACTTTACAAACTTGTGAATGTGTAATTTATTAATTTGCAAACATAATAAGAGAACTTGATATTTGCATGTTTGTGTATTTTTGCACGTTCAAAATATCTTTTACATACATACATGGCACTTTACTTGCGAATGTGGAATTTATTAATTTGCACGGACAATAAGAGCAGTTAAATTTGATTTAATATTTGTAAATATGTCGTGTGTACATATATTTTTCCACTTGCATAGAACTTAATATTTGTATGCATGTATGTATAATTTTGCACGTGCAAAATATGTATATACGTATCTTTGAAAGTGCACTTTAATTGCGAATGTATAATTTATTAATTTCCAAGCACAATAAGAGGAGTTAAATACAGATAGGACTTAATATTTATAAATATGTATTATTTTGCACGTGCAAAATATCTTTTACAGCGTTCCCTCCCTACTTGACCTGGACGGTTTTGTTGAAGTCGACCCTGGCGTCGTAGTACTCGCTGGCCAAAATGTGCTCGAAATTGATTTTGATATCTTGCTGGGGTACGATTGGTGCCACGAGGGTTTCATCGTCCGGTGCTGTGCATAAATAGATTAGGAAATTATGAAAATTATAGAAATATTTCTGAATTTTTATAGATTTTGATTTCACTCACCCAAAAAGTATGAAATGCTTTGTCGAGCTGTAATCAAAATATGTAAATGTACATCAGAATTGAATATTTTTGCGGAGATTTTTGCAACCACGAACCTGTGTTACGTTTGGCATCATTTTTGGGAATGGGGACGCGATGGACGATTGCTGGGAAGAATCCTCCGGACAATCGGGCAAAGAGGTCGCTGGCGTTGACCACGATGGAGTTCTTGATCGGAGTGGCGTCGTACCATTTCCCGTCGTCGTGCTTCATCTGGAAAATCATTATCACGTGTTTATTTACTCAATCTCGTCATAACAGAATTTTAATGTTAGGCAGTTAACATTTCTAAAATTATCATAATTTCCTAAATTTCTCAAGTTTAGTCAAAATATTGAGAGACAATATGCAAAATTTTCAGAATGAGATCAAGATGAGCTCAGTAAATTTTTACTAAACTCACGAAACAGATGAAATTCTGGAAATTTGAAAAATGTAATTTTGCTAATTGTCTATTATGGCAGTTCTGTTAACGCATTTTGTATTTTACGAAATTCATCTCGTAAATATTTTGAATTTCTTTTGCTCATAATTTTGACTAAATTCAAGTGATCGATGAAATTATGTAAGGAAATTTGAAATTTGAAAATCGTAACTTGCTAACTGCATATTAATTAATTAAATTATGCTGATTTATTTCCCCTGACCTCGAGTCCACCCACGCTGTCCTGGAAAATCATGGTGATCGTGCCAAAGTCGGTGTGTTCCCGGCAGCGGATGCCATTGCTGGGGATGGTGTAGTCGTCCGGGAGTGGGGGGTAGTACAGGGAGCGGATCGTGCTCTTGGACACGACCTTATCGTCGTTCAAGTTCTTATGGATTTTGAGGAGGTAATCCGGATCGTCCAGCTTCAAGGCGAGGCCGAAAGCTTTCAAGAGCTTTTTGAGCACGATGCGACTCTCCTCGGTCAACTCTTCCATGGACGGCTTCAAGTCGGGGACCTCTCCTGTTGGGTAGGTTGGACAGTGTTGGTGGTTCACGAGCTGGGGGAGAAGTAAAATAAAGATAAGTTAAGTAATTGCATAGATAATTAACTAATAATGTGGATTTTTCTTACTCCGGGAACATCCCACATTTCTCTCAATTCCAAAATGTGGTTGGTGTAGGTGGTCCTGAAATTAAGGAGAGTTTTTTTTATTCATTACACGGAAATTTTGGAGAAAAATGGGGAAAAATTTGCTTCATTTGTAAATATTTCGAATGCAATTCAATCAAGACATGTGTGGAAAAAGACGAAAAAGTTATTGCAATAAGTTTGAGGGAAAATTAGTTGTGATTTTTGGAAATTCAGAATTATTCTCATGTTCTTTGTGTTGGATGCTGGGGTCAAGTTTTGAAGAGTATCAGTTTTTATCAGTGGCTGCGGAAGCTGTGGGGACATTGCCATTGTAGGATGGGAGGGGGGGGGTTGGATTTATATAAGATGGGATAAGATGGGCAGATGAAGGGGACATCGAATAACCGTGAGGACATTGTCCCTCTGTCCACACCCTTCCGCGGCCACTGTTTTTTACATGGGCAGAATTTCTACTCACAATTTGTCTCCGGGTCGGTAATAGCCATAGTATGAATTGATCTTTTGGTACTCGTCCTTCTTCTCGTTGGGTAGGTGGAAGAATTGCGTGGAATTTTTCATAACACGGTCAACCTGAAATATGTATGGTTACATTTTGTACGGATTTTTTTCGCAGATTTATTTTACGCAAAAAAAATCTGCAAAAAGCTTACGATATCCTCTGGCACGGCGTGATTGATGAGGTAGCAGTATCCATACTTTGAGAAAACGGTTCTCAACTGGTCGGCGACATTGCTCCAATCCGCCGCACTGATTTGGGCGTCAGGCTTCCCACAAATGGGGGCCAGGTCGACGATGGGTGCCATGACTGGATGTGGGCAAATTTGCTGAAAATCTGCAAATGAGTGCGGAATATGGACTGGAAAAAAGGAACGACTGAGAATGTGGGCTAGCGTTCTCTCTTGATTTATTGAAATCCACTTATATTTTAATCGTGACGACGTTATCGAGGATCGGGTGGAATTTCCTGCCAATCATTTAGCCCACGTATGGCACAGCATTATCACCTTTTTGCGGTTGGCTTTCACATTGACATCGTTTGTTTGCGAATAATGAGTATGCAAATATTTAAATGCGAGTGTATAATTGGCCGCACGTTCCAGGTACAAAGGCTCCTGATATTTGTGATATGACATGATTTCAATTTAATTGTGTTGTTGAATGATATAATTATCATTAATTGCGCAATATTGACAGCTGCACTTTTGCCACCTATTTATAAAACGTTGCCAATTATTAGCAAAAGTGTTTAGATGGGAAAGTATTTATTTTTTTTGAAAATGTAGAGCTATTTTAGTGTCGGTCAGAAATTGTTCATATAAGCTTTTTTTAATAAAGGGTTCAATTCGTAGATTTTGTAGCGATGGGTCAACAAACTTCGCAATTTTGGAATTATTTTCCTCGTTTGTTTTTATCGCATGATTTACCTAATTGAACAATTAAATATTAAGTGGTATCAAGTTTGTAACATGGAAAAATCAATTAAGATGAGATGTGTACGTTGATTAGATTGCGAAAGTGGTGGTGATGAATGATTGGAAATTAATTAGAGTCACGTGCTTTTAGAGTGGTTTCGTTTTTTTGCATTTATGAAAATGTGACGTAGGGTTTTGCATCTTAGGGCAAAATCATATAGCTTGATTCGCATCAAATTGGTAGAAATTCAGTTGGTGGTTAGCTATTCGGTATGGTTTTAATCAAAACTTATTATCAAAATTATGGTCCAAAAGTCTTGAACACCGAATTTTGGACGTCCAAAATGTTCAAAAAAGTGTCTAAAATAGAGAATGGGACGAAATGTGGCAAGTTATTTATTTTATTTTTTAATATTTCTATAATCCGCTGACGCATATGACATGATTTAGAAAATTTCTTCATTTAAAAAAAAAACTGGTAAAAACAAAAGTTTTTCCAACTTTCAAGTTATTACATACACACCAAAATGCTAAACAATAAAAGGAAATTACATAATTATATGTGCATATATTTTCAAAAAGTCAGTAATAAAGAACTTGTGAGATTTTGCCATTTTGCAATGTTGGACGTTTTTGAACATTTTGGACGCCCAAAATTATTTTTTGACAGGTTTGGACTTTCTGAACAACAAATAAGGTTTTTGCACAATCTGGTATCAAATTAATCGATGCATACAATAGATCCATAATTAATTGCATGTCATTAATTAACTGTACATTGGAGAAAGAGAAATGATCGACTGTGCCCAGAAGTTGGCTGGGATTTCCATTTAATATTCCAAACTTGGAGAGATAAAATAATCTCGTAATTGATTATTGATTATTGATCCTTGTACTTTCCAGCCGCCCGACGTGATTTTCCAGCCTGCATTGATTTCATTTCATGCTGGGTGACAAAAACTGATAAAATGTTTGATTAAACAATTAAATACAGAGTCCGTATGTAAATATCTTTCATGTTCAATTCAATTAAATTTTTGACCCTGTCGCTGGCTGCATTCTTTTACTGGGTGATATTCCATTTAGGAATGGCCCACTTGACGAATTTGTTGGAAAATGGGGACAAATCTGTAGAAATGTACGCTGAGATATATTTAGTCCTTCACTTCTTTGTCACCCTGATGCGATGAGATTATGATTCTTTTCCATGCAAGAATTTATGTAGGTATGCAAAAATAATGGTGTCATGCAAGTATTTAGAGCGAAACCTGGTCACATTACTTCCTTAATTGGAGAAAGCATCATCAGTAGTCTGGTGGTTATAATTAGACGGCTTGTTCTGCTGACGGTGCTGCTCTGTTCCCTGTTACCTCTGCAATAAATAATTCGTCATGTTCTGGACGTGGATTTTCCTCTTCGTGACGGGAGCCCTGATTTATAAATATTTCATCAAGGATGACGACGAGCCGAAGAAGAAGCTTCCGCCAGGTAAGAATTTATTTTCAAGGGGACAATTAATTACATAGGAAAGGACAGAGGTGGGGAAAGTATTTTGGGAAAATGGAGTATTTTGAGCTCGGTTCTGTCCAGGGTTGCAAACCCTGGACAGAACCGAGCTCCGTTCCACCCCCGGAAATCCAAACGTTTGGATTTCCGGGGGTGGAACACACATAAAAAGATGAAAATTTACGTGGAGAAAGCAACAGTCGTACGAAAACACGGGTTTTGTGAAGAAATTAACTTTTCCTTGGGGTTAAAAATATATTTTTTCCACAATTTTTTAAAAATAAGGTTTTTTAGCAGCGATGAAAAGTTAATTTCTTCAGAAAACTAGGAATTTCGACTGACTGTTGTATTCTCCAGGTAAATTTATGGGTGTTCCAGCCTGGAAATCCAAACCCTGGGAAAAATGGAGATCAAAATACTGATTTTGACAAAGAATTTTGACCACCCCTGGAAATTTGGTGTATGATTTTTAATTTGAAATGTTGCGTAGGCCCTCCGCCCTCTTTCATCCTTGGGAATTTGCCCCTCCTCTCGAGCGAGACAAAGAAGGGGATCCCGCCCTACAAAGTGCTTCGAACTCTTTCGAAACAGTATGGTCACGTGATGTCGATGCATTTCGGGTCCACCTACCAAGTCATCTTTGACGACTATGAGACCATTCGGGATCAACTGAGTTCGGATCTCTGGTCAGATCGTTATGTCGATTCGTGGATTTTGGAAAGATCTTTTGGAAAAGAATTGGGTAAATATTTTGAAAGTTTATGGAGATTTTGGGCAAACATTTTGTGCAGTGTTTCGTTTCTTGTTGGTGGTTTGCTACATATATTTCTTGCACTGGGAAGGAAGAAGCGCAAGAAATGCGAGGTGCAAAACTGCAAGAACATTTCGGATTCATGCATGTTTTTAGCCCGAGTCGGGGATTATGTACCGGTCATGGTTGTCTGTCTGTCGAGTACGCTCGTACTTTCCAGTCGAAAATTTCGACTCGAAATCCAATCGGATTTCTTATTTGTACATTCATAATGTCCGTAAGCAAAATTTTTCCGATCTTAAGATTAGTTTAAAACCATAAGATTATTCCTCGAAATCGTCGTAAGCATGAAATGGATGAAATGAAATGCGAGGTGCAAGAAAGTGCAAGAAATATGCGCCATTTAACATTTCTTGCAGGTCAAAATAGCTGCAAGAAAACACTTGGCGTTATTTCGTGCAAGTGGTCACTTTCACTCATTTTGTGATATTGTACTTTTTTACAGGAATATTTTTCGGGAATGGCGAATCCTGGAAAGAATTGCGTCGCTTTTCCCTCCGGACTTTGCGTGACTTTGGTTTCGGGAAGCAAAAGAGTCAAGAGACCTTTATCGAGGAGGAGTTGGAGCATTTGCTCGCCCGGATGGAGTCTGCCCGAAAAGAGGGTAGCGATGTCGTCTGCATGAAAAAGTTCTTCTCCGTGTCCGCCCTGAACATTATTTGGTCGCTGATCGCCGGCTTCCGGTTCTCCGAGGATGACAAACAGCTCCAGCTCTTGGTTCACTTGATGTCGCAGATTGTGCGGTTGCTGGCCGTGGGAGAGGACATCATTGCGGCGTATCCTTTTCTGAGACATATTCTGCCACGCTTTACGAAACGGGGGAGAGAGAGGAAGAAATTTTTGAATGAGATTCATGGCATGTTTAAGGTATGGAAAGTGTTAAGAATGGGATTAATAATCAGAAGATGGAAGGGGAATATCTACTTTGGCAACATGCGGGATTTTGAGCTAGGTTCTTCCCAGGGTTTTGATTTCCGAGGGTGTTGCACCCACAAAAAGACGAAAATCTACCAGGAAAATGCTATATTCACACGAAAATAGAGGTTTTACAGGGAAATTAAGTTTTTATCGGATCAAGATACGTTATTTTCACGATTTCTAAAAATGAAGTAGTTCCACAGTGATAGGTAAAGTTGATTTCTTCACAAAACCTGTATTTTAGTGTGAAGGGTTGTATTCGCCACGCAGATTGTCGTCTTTTTGTGGGTGTAAAAGCCCCCTGAAACCCAAACCCTGGGAAGAACAGAACTCAAAATGCTCTCTTTAACGAAGTATTTTGACCACCTTTGATAATTCGCAATTAAATTTGCAGAGCATCCTAGACGAGCGGAGGAAGGGTGGAAAGTACAAGATTGAGCAGAGAGATTTCATCGACGTGTTTCTCACCGAGATTGATGCCCACGCTAATGACACGCCCGAATTCAATTATTACACCGGTATGTGCTTTACACTTATCAATCAGTTAGTTTTATGGGCTTATCTTGATTTTCTTGTAATTTATAACGAACAGAGGAGCAGTTTCTGGTCTTGGCGTTGGATTTTTTCCTGGCTGGGACGGAAACGACCAGCTCAACGATGGAGTTCGCCTTCGTTTATATGATTTTATACCCGGAAGTTCAGAGAAAGGTGCAAATCGAGATTGACCAAGTCGTCGACCCCTCAAACTTCCCTTGCACGCTGGACAATAAAAGGTAATTTGGGACGATTAACGAGTGCATTTTGCATAGTGATGAATTTTTAAGTGATTGTTGCCTGAATTAGGATGCCCTACACGGAAGCCGTTTTGCTGGAAGTGCAACGAATCGCGACGGTGGTTCCGATCTTTAGCAGAGCAGCAAGTATGGATCATTACAATGGGGATTACTTCATAAAAAAGGTCAGTTAATGTAGATTCAATGACTAATCAGGTCAAAATCAGTACATTTTTAATCGTTTCTCGTCTCTGGGAATTTATTTTAAAATTCTGAACGATAAATTTGTAGTCAGTGAAAGTTGATTAATGGAATGGCGTTGAGTTTTTGAAGCCAGTTTCGACGAGTTCCAATTTTTCTGAAGGCTTCTTAAACTTGAGATCTCCTCCGCCAAAAACTGTCAAAATCCGGAGTACATATTTTCAAAAAATTGGCAACTCGCTTCTCTACAAATTTGTCGTCCAGAATTTTGAAATAAATTCCCAAAGAAGAGAAATGATTTAGAAACATGCAGATTTCTCACGTTAATTAACATAATTTGAACATATTTTTTTATAAGAATTAGGACCTGAATTAAACTTGAATTGATGCTTGATTTTAGGGTACGATGGGCGTCTTTAGCTTGTACAGTTCCAACTATAGTGAAGAAACATGGGGCGATCCACTGGTGTTTAGACCGGAGAGATTTTTAGACGCAAAGAAAAATGTTATCAACGCCCAAAAAATTATGGCTTTTGGATTGGGTAAGCACATCTAATGCATAAGATTGCTTATCGTTACACAAGTTAATAATAAATAATATTATGACTTTAGGAAAAAGAATCTGTGCCGGTGAGGTTTTAGCGAAAGCAAATTTGTTCAAGTTTTTCACCTCGTTCCTGCAACGCTACACTTTCGAACTATCTCCGGAACATGGGAAGCCTTCGACAGAACCGATTTTGGGCACGGTCATGTCGCCACATCCGTTCTGGGCGGTGGTGAAGGCACGCAAGCCGGGCAGCCTGGTGGGGGTCGAGGAGTAATTAATTAATTAAGCAATTAATTAAATTAACAGAGACATGTCGTAACGTATTCGCACAGATTTTGACAAATTAGTGTCAGTCGATCATAAATTCGATTAGTATGAAATTTTCAAAAGACAATTTCGCAATGATTAAATTTTGAGGAGATACAAATTCGCAGTTTCTCCGAATGTGGAGTAAATTTGCAAAGTGTAAAATTTGTGAACTTTAGGACCCATTTTCTCCTCCTTGTATGCAAATATCTCTGCCAAACATGCCCATTGGGAGATCGCGTCTTTTGCAAATTCAATATTAATTGGCATTTTGGCCAAAATCTGTGAGCATACGCTGGGAGAATTACTTGTGCTACATTGAAATAATTATTTTTTTGTAATAAGAAATAAATAGGTGATTAATTCCTCGTAAATAACTCGATACAATAAATTATCTTGTATTATTTATAATCCAATCTTGATATTGAATGTAAATACATATTTAACAAATCCAATAAATCTTTAAGCATAGAAAAATACATACATAATTAATTTGATAATAAATAAATAAATGCTACTACTAAAACGCATATAATTCTGGATGATTTGTTCCCAATTTTTGCACTTTCTAAATAAATCTCTAACTAACTGTCTATAAATACAGCTCTGATTTTGATATGTAACATTTCTTGTGAGCAGATTCTTTTAAAAATTAATCACATTTTTTCACCAGGTAAATTTTGTTGAATATCTGAATCACAAGATTTCCTGAATTTTAATTTATCACTATTTTCTAAAATAATACTGCTGCTGGTAATTGGTTCCTGAGGAAGGATGGGTTTATTGGGGCTGGATTCGAGCTCGTTTGTGGGGCTGGGACTCGGCGAGTGGGGCGGCTCGTTCTCATTGTTGTTCTTCTTCTTGGAAGAAGATAACTCTGTCGAGTAGGAGGAGGCCTTCTTGGGCTGCATTATTTTCGAAATGGCCGGACTCAAGAGAGACTGGTCGACTTTTTCTCGTTGGGGGGCACACATACTGAAGAGACAGCCGAGGATGAGCGTGATGGTGAAGGTGATGAGGGTGTACCACTGGTAGGAAATTCGGTAGAGGTAAAAGTAGTCTTCGGGTAGCCTGGAAAAATATGGAGGGGAAATTACTTACAATGCGATGGTGTGAAGTGTAACCCTCCGATTTGGCTGAAATTTTAAAATTAGGTGGTCCAAGCCAATACAACTAACGTTTCTTCAGGCAGTTTGTGCGATGGTGAGAGTTACTCAAAATATTTGAGGTCAAAGTTCAAAAAACGGCCGACTTTTTTCAGGCGGAGTGAGAAAACTCCACTTCCATTCTCTTCCCCTCGCTTTGATTTTATTCAGGCGTCTCGCTCATGCATACGCCTTCATGCTCAAGCACAAGCTTTGATGCAAAATAATAAAAAATAAACATTAGTAATTATAGCTTAAAGAGCAATTAATACGCATTATACATACTTAATTTAATTTATAATTAAATAAGTGAGATTTTTACTTATTTCTAGTACAAATTTACATAAAAGTTAATTTATAAATTCGCCAACGGCAAATAAACATGGAAAAACTTAACTTGCTTTCCATTTCGAAAGCGTTGGTTATTCTAATATCCAATTATATATTAATATTTTAAATGCTCCTGTGATTCGATATTGTTGGTACTCAAGCGGATCATGGGGTGATGACGAAAAGCCCGAGTTTAAAAATGTAAGCGAAGTTTGTTTTAGAGAAAAAAATATTAGTTGCGACCTGAATTGTGGCAATCCCACATTCATCAAATTCAGCTGGTGCAGTTTATCGTATTGTTTTGTGGACTTTTATGAAAATAATCATATAGTCACATGTGGAATGAATAATTAATATTTTTCTATAAAAAATTAAATTTAAAATTGTTGAAATGAATTATTTTTCGGAGTGAAAATCAAAGCGAGGGGAAGAGAATGGAAGTGGAGTTTTCTCACTCCGCCTGAAAAAAGTCGGTCGTTTTTTGAACTTTGACCTCAAATATTTTGAGTAACTCTCACCATCGCACAAACTGCCTGAAGAAACGTTAGTTGTATTGGCTTGGACCACCTAATTTTAAAATTTCAGCCAAATCGGAGGGTTACACTTCACACCATCGCATTGTTAGGATAATTATTACAACTTATGCAGGATTCGATGACTCGTCTTTAAAAACGAGACATTTTAAGTCATTTCTCGGTTTGGGAATTTATTTTTAAATTCTGGATGACGAATTTGTAGTCGGTGAGTTGATTACCTAATAGAATGTCGGTGAGTTTTTAAGCACTTTTGACGAGTTCCAATTTTTCTGAAAATCGTTGCTCGACTCTGGAAATTTATTTCAAAATTTTGATCGACAAATTTGTAGAGCAGGTCGTGCCCAATTAAAAAAATATTCACTCCAGATTTTGACACTTTTTGAAAGAGTTTAAGAAGTCTTCAGAAAAATTGGAACTAATCGAAACTATCTCAAAAAAACTCGTATGGGAATTTATTTTAAAATGCTGAGTAAAAAAATCTGTCCAGTAATTATATTACCGAGAAGACAAAATAATTTAGATCGGATTTTCAACGCTACAATCTTTTAAAATTACTTTACTAATGACAGTAGAACTCGTTGACTCATCACCTAAATCGTAACACATTTTTAATTATTTTCCTCCTCTGGGAATTTGTTTTAAAATTCTGGACGACGAATTTGTAGAGCAGGGAGTTGCCAATTTTTTAAGAAATGTACATTACAAATTTTGACCCTTTTTGAAGGAGGAGATCTCAAGTTGAAGAATCCTTCAGAAAAATTCAAACTAGTCGAAACTGGCTCAAAAAACTCAACGCCATTCCATTAATCAACTCACTGACTACAAATTTGTCGTCCAGAATTTTAAAATAAATTCCCATAGCCGAGAAATGATTAAAAACGTGCTGATTTTGACGATGAGTCTTCGAGTCGTTAAAGGATTAGACAACTTTAAGTAAGATCTTTGCCTACTTGTCACTCAGCGGATTCCCCGGCTTGCAGTTCGCCACAGGAAAAACGGTCTCGTTTCCATACTGTGGACACGTCGTGCCCCCACTTAATCTCTGTATTTCCGGTTTCGGACCTCCAAATCCCATCCATAATCCTAACCCTAGTGAAATCAGGAAGGCTGGGACGACGGCCCTCTGGCTGGTGAAGGGGAACATCATGCCCAACGTGAAAAGAGCGAGGAGTGGTCCGCCCACGACGCCGAAAATGGTGAGACTCGCTTGCAGCACGCCGGTGAACTTTTCCGCGAGGAAGGCGACCCCAATGCAGACGAGGCCGTAGCACAGGGCGAGGATTTTGTTGGCGAAGGAGACCGTCGCAGGGGCGACGGGGTTGTTTACCCCGCGCGCTTTGCGGACCAAGGGATGGATATAATCTTCCCAGGAGACGGCGGCCAGCGAGTTGATGGCGGACGAGACGGTGGATAAGGAACCGCTGAGAATTCCGGCGATAAAGAGCCCCGTCAGTCCGGGGAGTTTGTCGAGCGAGTCGACGACAAAGAGGGGAAGTAGCTGTGCAAATAGACAAAAAAAATTGTGTTAGATGTATAGATTTTTTAAAATATGTGCAAAATACGAAGTATTCGAAAAACTAGGGCTAATTTTTAAAATTTTGGCAAGAGTGGAATATATTTAGAAAAATTATGGGCAGGTTGCGACCACCTTGACCCCGATTACTTCGATTCTCCACAACAAGCAATGTGCAAAGAGATGTGACATCCGAAAATTCACATAATTTCTGAATTGCACATTACTTGTTGTTGGAAATCGAAGTCGTCGGGGTCAAGGGGGTCACATTTTGAACAGAAACAACGCAATTCCATTCAGACATTGATCCAAAAACATTTAAATTCTTGACAAAATTTTAAAAATTAGTGGCAATTTTTCGAATACTTCGAGTTCACATTTTGTACATATTAATTATTGAAGTCGATTAAACTGTTGCAATCTGTAACAAATTCATCCCCATAAACAACCCCCCGACTGCCCCCGAGTGAAAAGCTTGTCATGATCATTATAATTGTTTGTAGCATTAACTTCTATTTCGTTAAAATGATGCCGTACTTGATCAGCGGAGCAAATTCGTTTGGTGAGTAAAGGGTCGCAATCTTTGTACTTGGCGTAAATCGTCAGTCCTGCCATTGCTGTCGATAAGCTGAGAAACATGAGGATTGGCAGGCTCAACCAGAGGCTGAACTGGGAGCGTTTGAGATCTCTGCAAATCAGCATCGTTATTTTTAATTAAAAGCTTGTACATTAATTATAAAGAAGCAATTGTGTATATTCACCTCACTGTCAAAAGTCGTTGTACTTGGGCCTGATTAAGAATAATTAATTTATTATTATTTATATACAATTAGCTACATATGTAATTAAATTTGTTACACTTGAAATTGTACTACCTGGTTAACAGCGTATAAACTCAAATATACAAACATTCCTCCAAAAATTTGAGTGAACACGGTGTGTCGTACGGTCGGATCCAGACTGAAGCTGAAAAAGGGAAAGAGGAAATGAATTAGTATGAAAGAAAATATCCACACATTCGAGCAACCTATTTCAAATTTTTCTTATTAGGCAGTTAGAAAGCAGAAAACTAAAATTTCCGTAACTTTTCCAATCTCTTCTGTTGGGTCAAAACTTTCGGGAACAAAATAAAAAAATGTTCAGAAGACACTCATGATTCAAGCAAGAGTGATTTACAGATAAGCTCCAGAAATTTTGACCCAATTCGACACAGGGAAAGTTACGGAAATTTTGAAAACGTCGGTTATCAAATTACTTTAAAAAGTGAATACGCCCCCCTTCCTCCGCAATCCGCCAGATTTCTCCCACGCCGCCGAGATCAATCGACCCTTTAATGATGACGCAGTACACGGCAGCAAACATTAACAAGCTCTGAAATATATACAAATATTTACATACTCGCCATTGTTACTCAAAATACTTTAATCTCGTAAAATTTGAACGGAACCTGAAAGACGTCCGTGATGAGGACCGCTTTCATTCCGCCGATGGAAGAGTAGAACGTGCAGACGGCTCCAATGCTCAAAATAGCGCCCACCTTCGACAACCCGGTGACCGCGCTTAACGCCAAGGCCGGCGCGTAAAGGACGATCCCCATGTAAAGGATCATTTGCAGGGAAAATGCAGCCGACCCGACTAGACGCGTCCCTTTGCCGAACCTTCGTTCCAAGTACTCGTACACGGAAAGGGTTTTCAGTCTGGAAAAAAATGTGCATAAAATAATTAATAGATTTCCAAAATAGGTATAAAAACCCGGGTTTTTTCGGTTAATTACCTATAAAACACGGGTAAATAAATATACGCGACGATCGGTGTGGCCAAAACGTAGCTGATGTTGATGACGAGAAACTGCGTGCCGTACATGTAATTTTCTGAGGACACGCCCAATATGGTAATTGCCGACATGAAGCTCGCCATCAGGGAGAAAGCGACCGGTGTCGCGGACATTTTACTGTTCGCCATCATATATTCCTGCAAAAAAATGATACGTTTTTGTTAAAAAAAGTACGATTTCAAAAAAATGGGAAATTTACAATTGAATATTTCTGTACCTCCACATTTTTCTGGCGTCCCCCCGTGAACCTGTAGTACACACCGATTGCGGCCGAGATGACGAGCACAGTGCCAAAAACGACGTAGTCCCATGTCGTCAAGTAGGATGACATTTTGTGTCATGTAAAATTTACGGGGTGGAAAATTTGGAAGAAAACTTGGAAATTATTGAATGGAGAAGAAGCGATTTAAAGAAACTGGTGGTGCATGATATTATTATTATTGCGAAGAAACGGCATTGGTATGCAGAATGGAAGAAGTCGTTATTCGTACGATGAAATGTGATCCCGTCGAGATTCCTGATTCGGAATAATAATAAAATAAAACTCTGCCAATCACATCACTCATATTTCATCATGAATGATGTCTACCTAAATGCCGTCTAAAGTCCATGGCATTTGTTATAATAATAATACAGATTCTGCACTAAATCAAAAACTCGTTTCATACACTTAATAAATATTGCATTGTCCAGTGTGTATGTATGCACAATACAATGACTGAGCCTGAGATTAGCATAAAGTAAGTGAGCAGAAATTGGCATACTCAGATAGACAGACAGACAATAGTCTGCTCTTCACGAAACGATTCACAAATCACAGCTTCTAAATAAGTACATAAGTAAATTGTGGACGAAATGAACAATGAAACCACTCGGCAATGACGTGATGATGGTGATGATGATTGAAACTTATTGTGCTTAATGTTCAATTAACTCTATAGCTATGGGACGAAACTGGTGGTGCTTCTACACGTATGGCTGATCTGATGGAAACTAGCCATGTGGACTTGTGAACTGCGGTGTATTTGGTATGATATCGTGTCGTGTATTTGAATTGGGTCCAAGAACACGGGTAGAAGAACTCGGAGAACCGAAGGTAGTGCGAATTTGCGAATCGGACGGAGCAGGCATAATATTCATATTGCGAATGTGTGTGTGTATCTACGAGAGAGAATGTCATGTCATATGCAAAATATTTGGCAAGCGTCACTCATATTTGACTTGATTTGATCTGATCATGCAGAAATTTAATATCTCGAAATGTATGTACATACAGCTGAACATGGAAATTAAAAATTTTGGAAAAAATGTTTAGATTAAAAAAAACTGTTCAGACTTGGTAGGATTTTTCATAATTGTACATACATATGTAAATAAATAGCCTAAAATAAATAAAATAAAATAAAATGACTTGTGTAAAAAAAATAGTAAGTTATTTGAGTACGAATTTACACATGTATGATGTTTAGTTTAAATGGATTATTATAAGGAGTTAAATGTTATGGCACTGCTTCAGACTTAATACATGGTTGCATTTCTTATCAGTAATTTGTAAAGTGACGTTCATTATAAAAATAGATAATGTGAGGAAGACCGATAATTGATCGATACGCTAAACATTGCAAGCAATAAATAAATTTTACTTTTTAGTATCGCATGAAAAATATTTATGAGCTAAACCAGAGCTAAACCTTCTCTTTTTGAACTATGAATTTGTTGAGGAACGAAACTGATTAAACTTGACGTTAGAAAATATTTACAAACTGAGTAAAAATAGAAATATGAAGTTTCGATTGCATAAAATACGTCGTAAAACCTGAAATTTACATATCACGTTTAATTGTATAAATTGGAGTTAAATATTATGGGACTTCCTCAGGCTTTATGGTTACATTTCTTACCAGTTACTCGTTAAATGTATGTAAGGTGACGTTCATTATAAAAATAGATAATGGATCGATAACTGATAATCGATACACAAAATAATATTGGTACCAATAAATCGTAAATATCACAATCTTGACGTAAAATACTTATGAGCTAAACCAGAGCTCATCTTTTTGAACTATGAATTTGTAGATTAAACCTTAAAAATATTTAGAAAGTTTGAATAAAAATAGAACCCTGAATGAATAATTTTGCTTAAAATATCTCGGAAATCGTGTAACTTTGATACAATAAAAAAATTTAACTCACAGCAAAATCCGAAAAATTCTGAGTAGTTGGTTGGTATTTTAAACTGTTGTTTTTGGCGTTGATTAATTGAGAGATCCTTTTTGTTACGACTATCCAACGGCCAGAATTTCCGGGTCCGGGATGAAGTACCCATTCTTCAGCTTGATCATTCCTTGACCTCCAATTAGGCTGGCACTTTCTGAGGGAGAATCCCCAAACGCGTGAGCCCACTCGTACCCCTGGATTTCTGGAAGGTTGCCTCGAACGCAGTACTCAACACTAACTTCGACCAGTTCGATTTCCAAGTCATGAATTTTGCTGAGAATTTCATTCTCTTTATTTTCCCACTCCGCCCGAACTTTTTGGACGTCTAGACTGGCCACGGTTTGGTTGAAGGCGTCGTTGTCCCTGGAAAGAAAGAAGAGAGACTTTTTATTATGGAATAGTTTTTGTGGATGGAAATCAGCCAGTGTTTCGGGTAGGAGTAAATACTTCCAAGAAATAACGGGGATAAAGTGGTTTTTTGCAGGTATTTTGACCTGCAAGAAATGCAAGGCGCAAGAAACGATGTCACGCCGCCATTCTTCATAAGGCGCCAAAGGCGCGTGGCTGGATGGCGCATATTTATTGCACAAATTCTGACAGTTTCTTGTACCTCGAATTTCTCGCGTTTTTGCTTTTCTTTGCAAGAAATGTGACACACCTGCATGAAACGAAACTCTGGCAAGTTATTACTTATAAGAAATATTTAACTGCACGAAACTGGTTTTTTTGCAGGTATTTTGACCTGCAAGAAATGCAAGGCGCAAGAAACGACGTCCCGGCCCGAATAGTTCGTATAATACGGCGCCTGGCTAAATGGCGCATATTTCTTGCATTTTCTTGCACCTCGCATTTCTTGCTTTGCAATTCCAGAAATATGTAGCCCACCCGCAAGAAACGAACCACTTCTTCAACCCACCCACAAAACTTACGGTAGTAGGTCGGGGATAGCGTCGATACTGATTTTGAGAGCGCGGTCAAACTCCTCCTCACTCATGGACTCGATATTAGTTCCAAACTTTTCCTTGAAGATGTCGAGGACCGATGGGAGAACGAAATTGTCGTCTTTCAGGAGCGCTTTCGGGATCGGGGCGAGTTCTCCGATTCTCGTGTCCCAGTCTTCAATCAGTTTGTGCACTTCGATAAGCCCGTTGCTGAGAAGGTCGGTCCTTTTCCGGAGGTTAATGGCGCACACGCTGAGTCGCAAGATGGCCTCAATGTTGGACGTGAACATGGAATTGAGTTGGTTCGTCCGCTGTAGAATGGTCGATTGCTAATTGGTTAATAAATGAAGCAGTTAATGGAATGAACTTTGCTATTAAAATGTTTAAGGGTTCATTGCAGGTGGGGTTTGAATTTAAATTTTTGTGACTTAACTTTCCCTTTTGCAGGTATTCAAATGGCTATTTTGAAACGTGTCCATCGCCATGCGTTTTTGAAAATAGAGTTTATTGCATCCAAAAATCGATAATTTTTAGATTTATAAGATAGGAGGTTATAATTTTGATTTTTTTCTTCCATTATTGAATTTTTCGTAATATCAATTTCTCATGAAAACAAAATCAAAATTCTAATCTCCTAACTTTTCAAACCAAAACATTATCGATTTTTAGATGGAATAAAATCTTCATTTTTTAAAAAGACGCACGGAGATGGACACACGTTTCAAAACCGCAATTTGAATACACGAATGGAAAGTTGCGACACAGAAATTTGAATTCAAAACCTGCATGCAATAGAACGTTAATTATATAAAAGTCCCTTCGTCCTGCACCTTTTGTCGCATATTCTTCTGCAACATGAGAATCTTGGCGTAATGGATATTTTTCTTGAGGAGTCTTTGCGTCCGGGCGTGTTCGTAAAGGAGAATGTTCATCCGATTCATTTCGAGCATGCTGTCCATCTCGGCGGCGGAATCCTCATCCCCGCTCGACTCTGTTTCCGTCTGGCTAAAATAATCCGTGTCGTCATCCTCTTGCACGACGCATCTAAACCTTTCGCCACAACAGGGACAGGACGATGTGTCGACGCCCTGATTGGCGGCAGTGATGAGAGGGTCTTCCTCCTTTGGAGTGTTGCCGGCAGCATTGTGGATCGTCGTCGAGGCCGAGACGAAAGCTTGGATGACCTTCTTCGGCCGCTGGTAGTGCGGCGGCGGCTTCTGCTGTGACTGTCTGCTCATCTGGGGAATTGAAATAATAATATAGATTTTTAAATAGAAATTTAAAGTTTGGAGTATTATTAGTATGGATTTTTATTAATTTGCAGGTGGGGAAAAATACTTGGTGAAATATGGTAATTTTTTGAGCCCAGTTATTTACAGGGTTTGGATTTCCGGGGTTGGAACACCCACAAAAAGACGAAAATTTGCATGGAGAAGGCAGCAGCCGTACGAAAATACAGGTTTTTGTGAAGAAATTAACTCTTTATCGCGGTCAAAATACTGTTTTCACGATTTTCTAAAAAAAATAAGAGTATTTTGACAGCGATAAAATGTAAATTTCTTCACAAAATCGGGATTCTCGTAAGACTGGTGTATTCCGCAGGCAGGGTTTCGTCTTTTTGTGGGTGTGGCACGCAAGTCTTGGAAATTCAAACTCTGGGAAGAATGAAGATTAAAATACGCCATTTTGACAAATTATTTAGGTCATTTCCTGTAGAAATGTGACCTTTCGAAATCAATGATAGAGTTTTAAGTAAAGAAATACCAATTACTCACTCGTTTTGACCTTCCCATTGTGATTTTTCCTTGGCAAAATTTCCTTGAGGGGAGGAGATGAGGGCAGGTCAGCTAGTGTTGATAGTTGTGCTATTTAAAATATAAATAATATTTAAAGGAAACTGTTAGTAAATTGTGAAATTCAGAGATAAATAAATGAACCTGGGACAAAAATTGGTCAACAATGTCAACAACAATAATTTTCTTTGTATTATGTAATTAATTATCGTTCTGCATAAATTACCTTTGCGAAGCTTTACTTGAAATACTCTACTTTACTTAAGATTAAGAAAGACGATGTTGATAATTTGTGGAATTTATAGGGAAATAATAATTAAACGATAAGAATTAAATTGTAAAGGCAAATATAATCATCCCTTGAATTGAAATACTCTACTTTAATTAAGACGATGTTGTTAACTTGTGTAATTCCTAATTTCTTGATAGAATTAGCGAAATAGTTAAATAATAATTAACTTTTAAAGACAAGTTTAATTAGGAAGGGAAGAAAAAAGAACTGAAAACTATTTCCTCCCCGAAACAGATGGCTTGTGCTTTGTGAGTCTCAAATTCTCAATCCGCCTCTCAAGACAGACGACTTTCTCCATGCATGCATTTTTTACCCCAGAAAATTATGGCCCCTCATTTCTTTTTCAAATTTTGGGAAATCTATTTTTCGAAAATAATGATTGTAAATGAACTGTGCAAGTCTTATGTACATATTTTTGTTACAGTTATTCGTGTCAGGTGAGGTCACACTTTTTTAAGTTAATTAAAGAACAAGTGAATAAATGCGAATGAATGGAAAAGCATGAAACGCGTACATTCAGGTAGACGACATAATATTTTTGGTTTTGATCTAGTTTTTTGTCGTAATTTTCCAAGAAATGCGGTGCATACCCCATTTATTTTTATGAAGGAATTATGGTACTTTGTAGGCTTTCCTTCGGGATGAGAGATTTTTTTTCAAATTATGAAAAAAAACAATTTTCGGAAAATTATGCCTGTAAATAAAGTGTACAAGTCTTCTTATGTAATTGTTATTAATATATACAGTTGTTCGGGTCAGGTCACACTTTTATTAAAAAAACAAGTAAATAAACGCGTACATTCAGGTAGACGACATATCATTGAATTTGATCTAATTATTGTTCTTATATAATTTTCCAAGAAATGCAATGCATGCATACCCAATTTATTTGTATGGTTAGGTTAGGTTTCGAGCTATTTATAAATTTTTCCTCGGGATGGGAAGTTTTTTTTTCCAAATTATGAAAACATATTTTTTGAAAATCACCATAAACTATGCAAGTCTCGTGGCCCGTGTCAGGTCAGGTCACACTTTTTTTAAATAAAAAAACAAGTAGATAAGTGGATATCTACATAAAAGGCTCTTTACATTCAGGTAGATGACATAATATTTAAGTTTGATCTACATAGTTTTTTGCTTTAATTTTCCAAGAAATGCACCCCATTTAAGTAGTTTTATGGCGAAGGAATTGTGGTACTTGTTTGTAAATGTGTATCTTTTTTAACTTGATGAGATTGCCCTAATTGTGAATATAAAATGTACATTGTTTTTGGGAAATAAGTAAATAAAATGTTGGTAATGTGATCTCATCCATCCATCAGTGGAGCAGTGCAGATGAAGAGTGAAGAATTATTTATTATGCATTGCTTACATATTTATTGGCCTGCTTGCCCTCCTGCTGAAGGCGACTTGTTAAAGATCATTTAACTTCCTGAAAATTTCCCTTTTTGGCTGCAGTCGATTTGTATTTGTGTGTGTTTGTTGACATCTTTGAAATTTGTGTACATGGATGGAGCGGATATGCATTCATAAATATTAATCGTTTATTCTTTACCATGCATCGCATTTATTTACTTAATCATCATTATGCTTAAACAAGATCGAAACGGGACACACGATCAGTGGCCGCGGAAGCTTGAGGGGACAGAGGGGCAATGTCATCCCACGGTTATTCGATGTCCATATCGTCTGTCCATGTTGTATAAACCCATATCCTGCAATGTTAATGGCCCCATATGTCCCCACGGCTTCCGCAGCCACTGATACATACGTAACACAAAGTTGAGCAGAACGACACCACGTACGTAACAAAAGGATAATCACGACGGTTCATAATTCGCAATTAGCAGGAAGATTGAGCGAGTAAATTATAAAGGGTGAATATTTTATTGGGCCGATTTAGAATGGAGGTCTCCCAGCGTGTGCAAATAGGTTTTGGGCAAATTAGTATTAATCGATGGCAAATTTAATTAGGATGGAATTTGCGAAAGACACGATCTCCCAATGGGCACGTTTGGCCGAGATATTTGCATCCACAGAGGAGAAAAGCTATGCTATGACATGCTAAATATGATATCTTTTAAATAATTGATATTACTTTTTTCCAAAAATCCACAAACTGGCGTTCAACTTGTTCAATATGTGTAAAATTAATTCATCCCGATTTATGAAGTTTTTTTCTACCTAAAATTATCACTTTAGAAAGATAGCAAATACTTAATTTACTCACACATTTGCAAAAGACACGATCTCCTAATGGGTACCTTTGGCAGATAAATTAATATGCAAATTTGTATCCGAAGAGGAGAAAAAAGTTGTCAAATTTTACACGTTCCAAACTTACTGTGCCTTTTCTCTTCTTCGGATGCAAATATCTTTGCTAAACGTGCCCATTGGGAACCTTGCAAATTTCATACTAATTAAATTTGCGATCGATTTCAAGTTTACGACAGTTTGGTCAAAAATGGAATAGCATACGCTGGGAGACCTCAATTGTAAGTTAATCAAAATGAATGTATTTTGTGTTTATTATTTACACGTTGATTGTTGGATGGATGGGAAGGAAACTGGTTATTTTATGTATGCGAATTGGTAATACATAAGTAAGAAATGCATACCATGAATTTTACGTATATGGAATTTTTACATACGCGTGCAAGAAACGAAGAGATACTTGTTTATCGTTTATTGTGTGGTGTGGTGTTATGTGGTTGTTAAATGTGCAATTTTGGTCGAGTTTCTACGTGTAGGTAGCTTTGTCAAATTGGTGGTTAAAAAGCTGTCAAATCTGCAAATTAATATGCAATGCGAGCCACGAGTGAGTGACTTTTTTTTCGAAATTGGACTGAATTCTTGCATGAATGCATAACTTTTTATCTGATTAGATAAGCAGATTTCCATTTAAAGTAAACTGGTTCATTCATGTTATTGACGACTCTTTTACTTATTTTTTGCGAGTATGTATATGTAATTAAGTCAATATGAAAATGAAAATAGAAATGCTACCGAATTTGGAAATTGTTTAAAAAACATGGCGTTGTTTGTGGTGTGGTTCACATTTTGAAAAACGAAATTCGGAAATTGTTCAAAAAGCGTGCAAGCGTTTACTGTCCACATTTTGGAAATGTTTGATTTTTCGACTTGAGAGATGACCCCACCACGTGCATAATCTTTGTTAATTGATTACAAGTCATTAAACACGTGGAGAAACCACGTGGCATTGTTTCTTACATACACATTTTGAAAAGCGGAATTTGAAAATTGTTCAAAAATCGTGTCCATATTTTGAAAATGTTTGGTTTTGTGAAAATGATCTGCGAGTTTGCTTAATTGATTACGACTCATTTCAAGCTTGGAGGTTTTGATTTATTGATTTAAACCTTTATTCACGTGTTAATAGTTATCAGTTTACAAAACTGGTTTAAAAACTATGACACAAGTAGATAAAACTATATATTTAACCTAAAAAATATCTAATGGACTCAATAACAATATTGGTCGTCACGTGCATTAATGATGTGTTCACGGACAGCTTGTACATATTTGTTGTAGCTCAAGTTTGGGTCCCAATCGCGTGGGAGTTTGTTCCATAACTTGGTCGCGCGATAATTTATGGATTTTTGAGCAAAGTTACATGATGTTACAGTTAAGAGTGGCCAAGAACGTCTAATTGCGGAGGAACCTATTTGGTCTTGGAGGTGCGATGTGCGACTTCGTGCCGTAAATGACAAGATGTACGATTTGCTGACTTAATTAGACATGTTTTTTTGTCTTGGAGGCAACTGCAGTTAAATAATTGGTTGCACTTTGTGTGGTTGAGATCTACCTCTCTCATCATACCACAAGCTGCACCTTTTGGATAGCCAAGTGCATATCCGACGGCGTCATGTCATGTGGGCCATACTTCCTCTTCTTCCTCCCTTATTAGACCAATAGGCAGTCCTACCTTGGTGGTGATGGTGCCATAGCCATAATTTGATCGGCCACTTCCTTCCTTCCTCTCTCATTATTACGAGTACACCTCGTCGACATTTCGATTCTGGGTGACCCACGTAACAATAATCTTTTGATTTTTTTGCTGTTGTTGCAGGCAAGCAGGCGACTTTTTTCGAATACCTTCCTGTCTTTTAGAATATTGGGTTTTTTTTACAAATATGCAAACGTTTGATGAGGCGAGACGACGACGCTCCCGGGGTCATGAGTATATAAAGATGTTGGGGTACAGCGTTCCTTCACAGTCAACTTCTCACCTCCAATCCATCCAACTCCACCTTAAGAAAAGACAGGCTTTTTGAAAAATTTTGAGAAATCGAAAGTTTTCGCAGAGACAAAATGAAGGCTTTCGGATCCCTGGTCGTGTTGGCTATTAGCCTTCAGTTGTCGGTGAGTTAAGTTTGAAAACGGGAGGAAAAGTGACTCGAAAATGGGTTTGTTAACGTGATTTTTTGAATTTTCTTGACAGAACGCCCTCTTGTTTGGTAAGGGATGGGGTGGTGGATGGGGTGGCGGTCCAGTCATCTCGGTTGGAGGTGGGTGGGGAGGGGACGGCGGTGATTTGGGCGGTTATGGCGGCGGTGGTGGGGGTGGCGATGGGTGGGGAGAGGCCCCAAAGGTTATCGAGACGCATAAGCATATCCACAAAGTGCATCATTACGATACCCATCAACATCAGGTAGGTGTAGGGGTCAATGGGTGTATTTAGATGTGAATTATTGAAATGTGACCTCTAACCCACAGGTGAAAAACTTTGACCATCATCAACACCAAGTCCATGAGCATAACAAGCAGAAGAAGATCATCCTCCGAGACCATTTGCATAAGGTGAGTGTGGCGTCATTTTTGCAGAATAATTGCACGTTCTTGCAAATTTTGGCAAATTTTCTTCCGAATAATTGCATTTTCTTGTAAATTTTGCCCAATTTTCTTCCGAATAACTGCATTTTCTTGGAAATTTTGCCCAATTTTCTGCAGAATAACTGCATTCTTGGAAATCTTTCCTAATTTTCTGAATTTTACTCTTATAGCACAATGTCCACGTGCACACCGTCCACCAGAAGATCCTTAAGCAACACAACATCCATCAGGTGACGATTTCGCCCATTTTTTGCAATATACAATTTGCATTATCTAAAATTGTGTCCTCTGCCCCCTTTCTAGCACAACCTCCACAAGCACAACCTCCACGTTGTCAAGGTCCACGAGCCCGTGATCCACCAACATCACAAGACCCAACACAAGGTCATCCCATCCGTCCAGGAGGTCACCAAGGTCATCCCCATCAACGAAGTCACCCACCAAGTTCACGAGCACCACGAGAAGGCCGCCCCCGTCATTTTGGAACACAAGGGATGGGGCGCTCCCGGCGCTGGTGCGGGTGGCGATGGTGGTTGGGGATGGGGCGGTGAGGCCGCGGGACCCGCGCTCGTCGCGGATATCGGTGGTGAAGGCTGGAAGCGCTAAGGAGTTTTTTTTCTTAGTTTTTTAATCAATTTTTTAGTCAATTTTTCTCAATTTTCTCACAAGAAACAAACAAACAAGCCAAAGTATACCTTCTCCAGTTTTTTTTTAGTTTTCCTTATCTCAGACTGATTTTATAACTTTTTTTGTTTTTATCCTTAGTGGAGAGAGAGCCAGGTAAAAAAAAATGCGTGGCTCAAGCTTGACTCATACATATTTTCGTGTTGAATTAACTGGCTGTTATTAAAAGACAATCGTAAATCGAAATGAATGAAATGTGTTTGGGTGGATTTTATTTGATGGGCATGAAAAAAGTGTCATATATAAGAGCATTTCTGTATTTGGTGGATATCATGAAAGGAATTTGCATGATAATAAATGCATTTTTATAATGTATGAGATGGGGTTTGTTTGGTTTTGGGGATGAATTTGCTCCGGATTTCGTCAGTTTGATGGAGATTTACAAAATGTGAAGGAGAAACATTCTAAAAATTGGTGCGAATTGTGAACTGTTTGTTAAAAGCGGAAATATTTATGCTCTTGGGAAATGTGTGGGTGGAATGGAATTGGGTGCAGTTTTTAAAGGAAATGTGACCCCTTTGACCTCGATGACTTGGATTCCACGCAAAAAGAAAGGGGTAATCGGGGGTTTTGTACTTTTGGGTTGGTTATCTTTTTCGCTCTGATTGATTTTAGGCTTATCTGTGTCGATATTTAAAAGGTAATTTCATTGCTGAATCCCATAATCGCATAAAAATTGATAAATCTCGTGACCGTCGTACGGTATGACGGCGCCTTCGAGTTAGAATTATTCGCCAAGGCATAATCTCACCATTGCGATTTGCAGTGCCAGCACATGGGCAACGTGGAGGAGATTATGTATGCAAAAATGACATATGCGATGAGAAATGCGAGATGGGAAAGGTATGGCGAAATTGGGAATACTCGTCAGTCGTCACCCGTGCAGACAGTGGTTTCGGGTAAAGAGCGAGCTCGAGATTCTGTACGGCAGTCGAACTTGTCAAATCGCTTCCTTCCTCACTCGTCTCACTCGTTGTCGACGTATTGATTTTCTGCGCTTATCGCCGGGTTGAAGATTTGCATACACGTTGTCCACGTGCTGGCACTGCAAATCGGATGAGAAATAGGAAAATTATGAGATGGTAACCACGGTCTCGAAATATAAAAGTTTTAACATGTCTTTTTTGGATTCAGGGACCTCGTTACCTTTGGGGGGATATCGACACAGATAGGCTATAAAATCCATGAGAGGGAAGAGACATAGAATCCCAGAGTTCATTCATAATAACCAAACAGTACTTGTTGTGAGGAATCATTGGAATTGGGGGCAAGAAAGATGGTCACATTATTGTGAGCAACTACAATCCATACAGATTTCCACCCACGGATTTTTATACATATTTTCATACCCTATAAAACGGGGGCAAGATTCGCTTATCTAAACTACGAGTTATAATTTAAGTCAAGGTTTAAAAACTTTATTCATTTTTCATATTAAGAACTGACAAATCGTTTGACATTAAGATACTAAAATGATGAGGAAATACATACATCCCATGAAATAGCACAATGATTTCTTAATTAATCAAATCGTATTTAGAAAAATTGCAGTATTACAATATTATTTGCACTATGATTTTTATGAATTTTCGTGCATAAAAATGGGGATTTTTTGTGGGTGTTATTAAACGTTTAAAAATATTTTATGTGCACTAATTTCGTGCAGATGTAATTTAAAAGCATAAAGACTGCATACAATATTCCCATTTTTAACAATTAGTATTAATTTTTCGAACGTTTCGAGTTTGCATTTTGTACACATCTTTTAAACTGATGCAATCTGCGGAGCTAATCCCCAGAACAAACCCCCAGTTTAAGATTTGCTTGATTTGGCGACACAATGTATAGTGTTGTCGGCATGCCCATCGTTAAAAGGACGTGTTTTCAACGGTATTTCGGCCACTTTACAAACCACAATTTTTTAAAGTTTAAACATATTTATCTAGTTTTTACCTTATCCTTCAATTTAATTATTAATATCTATGTACTAAAGATAACCATAAGCTAATTAACATATGCTGAATGCAGCTGAACTTGTACCTCAAAATCCGTACGTTTCAAACCCCCTAATTTAAAAGCCCTACTTACTGAATCTTCTTCTTAATCGCCAACAAGAACTTGAGCGTCGTAATCACCACGGTGTTAATCGTGACCACGACGCGTTTCGGCTGGACGAAGTATTTCTTCCCGAGTTTGATCTTCAAAGGGGCGCAAGACTTTCGAAACTTTCTGAGAAGAATGAAATCCGCGTCGTCCTTGAGTCGCAGGTACTGCCAGGAGCGTACCGTCGCGGAGGAGCGCTTCCAGAGGAGGCCGAAGAGGTGCAGCGACACGAGCCACGTGGCCAGGTAGACGTTCGGCACGAGGAGCAGGAGCAGTCGCGACATGGGCGTTTCCAACTTGTGAAATTTGATGAGGAGAGAATTTCCCATCATGGAGAACGCTTCGGCGGACACTTTGAGGGGGAAGAGGCACGACGTGAGGGCCTTGTTCCACAGACGGATTAAGATTTGCAGGGCGCGGTAGGTCTGACAAAGGCGAGGGGGGCGGCGGAGGAGAGGGCGAGATATGTAGTACGGGCGACCACCACTAATTAGTAATTAAATAAAATTAAGGTCACGCAATTTTAATTAACATAAAACTCATTATTAAAACGGTACATTTTTAGTCATTTCTATTAATCATTTCGGCACGATTTGCTTTGCATGAAAGATGAATTGGCTTAAAAATAGTAGGGCTCTTCACTCCAAAATCGTCAAAATTATAACATTTTAACCATTTTATTCTTTTGGGAATTTATTTTAAAATTCTGGACAACAAATTTGTAGTCAGTTTGATTAATGGAATTGAGTTTTTTATTTAAGCTCAACTTGAGATCTCCTCCTTCAAAAAGTGTCAAAATCTGGAGTTGTACATTTTAAATCGTTGGGAACGGTTTGCCCTACAAATTTGTCGTTCAGAATTTTAATACAAATTCCTAGAGGGGAGAAATGACAAAGAATGTGAGGATTATGGCAATTTTGGCGATCAGTCATCGAGTCCTACGTTAATTAAACCGGTCGCTAGTAATTTTTAAAAATGGTAGCATTAAAAATCCGATTTCAATTATTTTGTCGTATAGGCATTATAATTAGTAGATAGATTTTTTTTGGATGAAAACTTTAAAATAAATTTCCAGAGCCTGTAAATGATTGAAAACGTGCTGATTTGGACGAAGCGTCCTACGTGCATTGCTTACCAGATTTCTCGCATCATTTGCAGCGTGACGAAGGAGGGCAGGATGGACATGACGGTGTAGAAGGTGATTGTCGACGTGGCGGAGAAGGCCCACCCCGTGTGCAGGGCGCCGAAGCCGATGCAGAGCGGGAGGTAGACGACGAGCGGGGTGGTGGGCGTGGGTGGGAGGAAGGACGTGATCCAGCGGATGTCCAGGGGGTTCGCGATGTACAGGAAGAGGGACAAGATGGGGAGAAAAGCGGTCAGAATGGCCAACAGGTGAAGAATTACTTCACACCCGTTACGCCAACCACGACCAAGCCGTTTGATGTAGGCGTCTAAGGTTATCAAATTGATAAGTAAAATGTGGAAAATAAAATTTAGAATGGAGGTGGACCAGTGTATGAGATCGGATTTTGTGCAAATTGATGGAAATTGATGGCGAATTTGATTAGTATGAAATTTCCAAAATTTAAAAAAGAATAGAAAATTTGATTGTTTGTCACTGGTAAAAATTACAAATTTTAGAAATAAAGTAAAAAACAAACAGTTTGACTAATTTTGACACCGATTCTGAAAATTTTGACGTTCGCTATGTATTTGAAGGTGTAAAGATTACTCAACTGTTAAGGGCCCGGGGGAAGATTTACTTGATTTTATGTTAGCAACAATAATTGCCAGGGCCCCAAGATTATTATCGCTCTGTTAGGTTACGACCACAATTAATTGACACCGTTTCTATGGGACACTCACGTTCAAAAGCTTTGGTTTTGTCACTGCTTTTGAAAAAATTTCCCTTAAGTCCCTCAAGTTTTTGAAAAAAGTTGTTTCTTTTGTTCCATGGATACTCAAAATGCAATTCCTGCCATTAATTTGGCAATTCTAAGCCAATTTGTCCTCACTTTACGACCAAATATCTCCACTGCACAAGAGGGCAGATCGTCAAAAAAAAACTCAAGTAAAATCTAAAGATATGATTAACGCATTAAACATAATTTAAAAAATCTGCCCTCTTGTGCATTGCTGAATTTTATCGTCAAAGTTGACGTGATTTCTAAGCAACTTCCCCCAGGCCCTTAAGGCAAATAATCTTCATGGTTTTGTCACAAATTTTTCAAAACGTTAGAAAATTTTTACCCAATTTTTGTGTCACGCAAGTTTCATAAAATTTTACACAGATTCTCAAAATTTTGGCTTTAATTACTAACTAAAAATGGAGGTACCCCAGCGTATGCGATCCGATTTTGAGCAAATTAGTGGAAATCGATTGCAAATTTAATTAGGATGTAATTTGCAAAAGACACGATCTCCCTATGGGCACGTTTGACCGAGATATTTGCATCCGAAGAGGAAAAAACCCACAGTAAATTTGGAAAGTGTAAAATTTGTCGGGACGCATTTTCTACTCTTCGGGTGCAAATTTGCATATTAATATGTATCTCTGCCAAAGGGACCCATTAAGAGATCGTGTTTTTTGCAAATTTCATAAGTACCAATTAAGTTTTTGATAGATTCACACTAATTTGCTCAAAATCGGAGAGTAGCTGCTCAGAGATCTATATTAGTGAGTAGTTTAAGTATTTGCTATTTTTCTAAAGTGATACAATTTCAGATAGAAAAAAATTGCGTAAATCGAAGTGAATTAATTTTACACATATTGAACAAGTTGAACGCTAGTTTGTGTATTTTTTGGAGAAAAAGGTAAGATTCTTTAATTAAAAGATGTGAAAGTTGATTCTATTTTTTTAAATGAAAAAATTCGAGAATATTTTCTTGAAAAACATAATATTGCTGTGTTTTAATCCTTTTCTCCTCTTGGGATGCAAATATCTCTGTCAAACGTGATCATTTTGGGGGATCGTGCCGTTTGCAAGTTTCATAGTAATCAAATTTGTGATCGATGGACACTATATGTACTTTGCAAAAAATCGAATCTTTTAACTTTGTGTTACGAGATAATATTTGCATCCGAAGAGGAGAAAATGATGCGTAGTAAATTTTGAAAGTGTAAAATTTGTCAATTTACGGTACGTTTTCTCCTCTTCGAGTGCAAATATCTTCGCCAAACGATCACAAACTTAATGATGATGTATGAAAAATAAATTTTATGTAAAAAAAAGCACGACTTCCCAGTGCGCAGATTTTGAGATATTTGCATCCGAAGAGGAGAAAACGCGTCTTCAAGTCAATAAATTGTACACTTTCCAAATTTACTGTGCGTTTTCTCCTCTTGGGATGCAAATATTATCTGTGCCCATTGGGAGATTATGTCTTTTGCAAATTTCGCACTAATCAAATTTGTGATGGATTGATACTAATTTGCTCGAAAAATCGGAGAGCATACGCTGGGAGACCTCAACTGTCGGAAAATTATGATCACGTGGTTACTAATTTTGTTTGGGAGAGATATTTGCATCCGAAGAGGAAAAAACGCGCAGTAAAGTCGACAAATTTTACACTTTGCAAATTTACAGTACGTTTTCTCCTTTTGGGATGCAAATATCTCTGCAAAAAGGGGCCCATTGGGAGATCTTATGTCTTTTGCAAATTTCATACTAATCAAATTTGTCATGAATTGACGCTAATTTGCACAAAATCGGACAGCATACGCTGGGAGACCTCCATCGTAAATTTATGCAAAAACTTACTCCGAAAATGTTGCGAATACCGGATGAAGGCATTCACAAAGCAGACGATTTCCTGCATGTGTCTCCAACTGTTGACCGAGATGAGGGCGTAGATCACATAAATTATCATGATTTGGTAGCCTTTAACCTTTTCGTAAATGTACTCGACCGGATCCGACTTTCTTTTCGCCGTGGCAATCACGAAGCTCAACTTGATGAAGTAGAAGCTCCAGTTGACGATGGCGAAGACCACCCAAAACGTCCACTTGGCCCAACCCTTCTCCGAAATTCGGAGTTTGGACCGTTTATTGTCCCATTCGAAGGGCATCCCACCCAGGAGGCTGGTCCATTTGGAAAAGAAGCGGAGCAGACGGGAGGACGTTTTGCTTAACATATTTCTTAAAATTAGGGATTTTTGGAAATTCGGAGTAGAATTCGGATTATTTCTTAAAATTCGGATTAGAAGAAATTCGGATTATTTCTTAAAATTCGGATTAGAAGAAATTCGGATTATTTCTGAAAATTCGGATTACTAGAAACTCTGATTATTACTAGAATTCGGATTACTAGAAATTTTGATTATTTCTGAAAATTCGGATTATTACAACTCTACAATTTATGACACACGAGTATTTAGAATTGAACTGCTAGAAAAAAGTAATGTCAATAATTTCCTGGAGGAGAATTATGAATAATTTAGGTCATAACAATTTCATTGCGTGGAAAGTGAGCCGTGCCTCCGACCTTATCGGACTATTATTTGAGAATTATTATAACTACATTAGGCACGTGAAAGTATTGGATTTTAATAAAGGGAAGAGGAATTTAAAAATCCACCCGAGAGAAATATTACCCGTATTACCCGTATCTTACATGCTCGAGTAGTGTATGTATTTATTTGCGAAAAATCGCGGAAATATGCAGTTAATATTTATGAAAAAAACGGTAAAATAATATTTACCAAATATGAATGTAGTATGTACGAAGAAACGAACAAAATAGGAATTTTTACCTGAATCATCTGGATTTCTTGTGATCTAATCCCTCCGAGCAAAAAAATAACCGTCTCGAATTATTGAAATATTTACAAAATATACGTATTTTTTAAAAAAATATCTAAAAGATTGACGTATTTTTGAAAAAAATATCTAAAACATTGACGTATTTTTGAAAAAAAATATCTAAAACATTGACGTATTTTCAAATAATAGTGGAAATATTTACATGTCTTAAAACTTAGAAATATGTACAAATATTTTGTAATTTTAATGATCAATTGGGCGACACACCCACAAAGTTTGACCCTAGACCGTCATCAAATCAAAAAGTTGGAAATAAATAACTACATAACCGCCCTCTGGTAATTATGCATGTGGAGAATATTTCTCTATTTCATCCCTACAATAAATACAAGGTTGCAAAAAAAATGCGCAGCTTTATCAGATAATCGTTCGTTTATGCCATTTCTCTCTCTCCAAATTAAAAATATTGATCGATTCTACAACAAACAAAAACATGTTAAACTTGACTTTTCAAATGTACATATGCATGAATGTGATAGTTCGAATGCCAAATTTATAAGAAATGTTGCCCAAAGAAAGGGAAGGATTCAACCAAAAATTATTTATTATAGATAAGTCATTGACTACTACACACTTCATCGATTTTTTTATGTTTTTGAACATGAATTTCTGTTCACTCTTACTCTCTCTGTTTCATTTACTAAACTGTAAACTAAAGCTCCAATTAATATGGGAAGGAATTTTTAATTTATAACTTTAAATCATAGTTAATTACAGTGTATTTACGTTATAGTTATTACTTTGCACGCGCACGCTTCGTATTTATCCTTGGAAGGTGGCCATGAAATCGGTTACAATTTTCTTAAGTTTAGCATCCGTACCTTCTGACAATTTTCCCTCGGTAGCAATTGACTTTAGTACGTCTTGATGGGAAGCCCTGAAAGAGGAGGAAGAAATACAGTTAGAATATGATGAACAGATTGCATAATTTGAGATAGGATTCGACAACTCATGAACAAAATCAGCACATTTTAATCATTTCTAGCCTCTGGGAATTTATTTTAAAATTATGGACGATAAATTTGTAGAGCATGGAGTTGCGAATTTTTTAAAAAGGTGCACTCCAGATTTTGACACTTTTTGAATGAGGAGATCTCAAGTTTAAGAAGCCTTCACAAAAATTGGAACTCATCGAAACTGGCTCAAAAAACTCAACGCCATTCCGTTAATCAACTCACTGACCACAAATTTGTTGTCCAGAATTTTAAAATAAGTTCCCAGAGGCGAGAAATGAGTAAAAAATGCGCAGATTTTGATAAGTCATCGAGTCCTAGGTTAAAACTTGATGCCAAAACTTACTTAATGTGCTCTAAGAAACTCTTTTCGAAAGCAGTGATCTTTGCTGGGTCCAATTTATCAATGTGACCTCGTACACCGCAGTAAATGACGGCGACTTGCTCCTCAATGGCCATTGGAACTAGAATTAATCAAATTAAGAATAAAATTAGGTCAACATTTCAATTAAAATCGCTTTTTATTCTATTTATTGACCGCTTACCGTATTGACCTTGCTTCAACAACTCGGTGAGCCGAACACCACGGTTCAACAGTTGTTGTGTTGACGCATCCAAATCTGAACCGAACTGGGCGAAAGCTGCGACCTCACGATACTGAGCCAACTCCAACTTCATGGAACCAGCGACTTGTTTCATAGCCTTGGTCTGGGCAGCTATTTATTTAATAGCAACAAAAGATTCACAATTAATTAATTAATTATCACACAAATTAACTGTTATTAAACCACTAACTAACCTGACCCTACACGTGACACAGACAAACCGACGTTGATAGCAGGTCGGATACCCTGAAGAAAATGCAAATTAGTTAAATATCACTAATTTATTTACCCTTATTTAGTTTCGTACCTTGTAGAACAACTCAGTTTCCAAGAAGATTTGTCCATCAGTAATGGAAATGACGTTAGTTGGGATGTAGGCTGACACATCTCCGGCCTGAGTTTCAATGATTGGCAGCGCAGTGAGGGAACCACCGCCGTGTGTCTCGTTCATCTTGGCGGCTCGCTCCAAAAGACGTGAATGAAGGTAGAAAACGTCACCGGGGTAAGCTTCACGACCTGGGGGACGACGAAGCAGCAGGGACATTTGACGATAAGCCACAGCCTGGAAAGGTAAAAATAGAGAAGACAATGTATAAGTAAATGGTATATTAATTATTTAGTTTAATTATTCGTCCCGTCATTAATTAACGTAGCTCATCTCCAAAATCAGCACATTTTTAATCATTACTCAGCTCGGGGGAATTTATTTTAAAATTCTGGACGACAAATTTGTCAAGCAGGTCGTTCCCAATTAAAAAAAATATATACACTCCAGATTTTAACAGTTTTTGAAGAAAATTTCCAGTTTAAAAAGTTTTTAATAAAAACCATTCAGAAACATTGGAACTCATCGAAACTGGCTGAAAACCTCACGGCCATTCTATTACTCAACCTATCGAATACAAACTTGTCGTCCAAAATTTTTAAATAAATTTCAAGAGCCGAGAAATGCTTAAAATATTTTGATTTTTACAATCTTTCTGACGAGTCATCGAGTCCTACGTTAATTAAGTTTAATTATTCGTCCCACTTAATTACCTGCTTAGACAAATCGTCAAAGATGATCAAAGCGTGTTTGCCATTGTCCCTGAAATGTTCTCCCATCGCGCAGCCCGAATATGGGGCCAAGTATTGCAGTGGAGCGGCATCAGAGGCAGTGGCAGATACGACGATGGTATACTTCATGGCGTCCGCGTCCGTCAATCGCTTCACGATTTGCGCCACGGTGGATCTCTTTTGCCCAATGGCGACGTAAATGCAGTACAGCTTCTTCTTCTCGTCGCCCGCATCGTTGAACCGCTTTTGATTGATGATGGTGTCAATGGCGACGGAGGTCTTGCCCGTTTGACGATCCCCAATGATCAACTCTCGCTGACCTCGACCGATCGGGACGAGCGAGTCGACGGCCTTAATCCCGGTCTGCATAGGCTCTCGGACAGACACGCGGGGGATGATGCCGGGCGCCTTGACTCCGACTCGGGCCCTCTTTCCTCCCTTGAAAGCACCCTTTCCATCGATGGGGTTGCCCAAAGCGTCGACGACCTAAAAGAATTCGTAATTAAGGAACAATTAGTCAAATTCTGCCAGATAAAGGCTAAAAATAAGCGTTGAGAACTTCAGAATTCACAATTAAGTAACAATTCGTAAAATTTCGGTTGGAAAAAGCTCAAAATAAGCATCGAGAATTCGCAATTAAGTAACAATTTGCTAAATTATGGCGAAAAATTAAATCACTTACTCGGCCAAGAAGCTCATCACCGATTGGGACGTCCACAATGGCACTAAAGTTATCCATTAATTAATTAATTAATAATCAGGAGTAATAAAACCATGAATTTTTTCAATTACCCAGTTCGTTTGACGATATCACCCTCCTTAATGAGCTTGTCGTTACCGAAGACGACGACACCGACGTTGTCAGGCTCCAAGTTCAACGCCATGCCCTGTCCGAACAAGAAATTAACATATTTTAGATCGCATAACATTAAGTTTAAATGTTAAAAAATATGTATTTCTTCTTCTCACCTTGAGACCGGCGGAGAATTCCACCATCTCCTCGGCCTGGATGTTCTTTAGCCCGTAGACACGAGCGATACCGTCACCAATACTGAGGACACGACCAGTCTCCTCCAAATCCGCTTTGGGCGCTGGGCACGAGAACAACAGAGAAAAATTGATAATCAGTTTCAGTGGGGACAAATAAATGTTTAATTGCTGTGAATTATCGTACCTGCGCCCAAAATCCGCTCTTCCAAAATCGCAGAGATCTCCGCAGACTGGAAGGCTGGGGATGTGTGCAGCCATAATTTCTAGAAATAAATTAAAATTAAAGTTTGATTAGTAATTAATTTTCGAAATTTCACATTTTTTTAATGCCTAAAAAACTACGAGATTTATTAATGGGAACTTTATTCATCATCCTCCTGGCGTTGCGCCACCCGATTTTCTCCTCTACTCTACAAACTAAAAACCCGAGTTTAGTTTTGTGACGACACAAACTCGGCTAAAAATAGGACGACATTTTAATTTTTTAACCCAACCACTGCACTTGCCGCTGTTAACGCCGCTCATTAACAAGAAAATGAAGGTCTCAAATTTTGAAACTGAAGATAACTACCAAATTTTTGATAATGCTGCAATTCTCCCAAATTAATGTCGTCATAATCTTTAATCTTTAATTATTAATTCATATTAATTAACCTAACCTTTGACCTATCATCGACCTCACCAATACTCACCATCTCATTATTATTCCTTGCAAAATTCACATTTAAATATAGTTCAAAATTTGTACGCTTATCAAAATCTATTCAATTAAAAAAACAATCTCATCCTCACGTAACTTATCTGCTCACACGCCGCAAATTAGCAATTCATATTAACCTTTGACCTATCTATCGACGGCCTCATCATCTTATCTTTGCAAAATTCATATTCAATTACAATTCACCAAAATTCTTACGCTTATCAAAATCTATTAAAAAAACAACCTCATCCTCTCACTTAACTTATCATTACCTAACCCTTTTCTCTCACACGCTGCAAATTAACACTTATAAAAAGCCGGATAAGTTAACCGTCGCCGGACTTATCTTTTCTTTGAAACTTTGCTCACCTGCTGGATGGTGCCTAGTCTGGCGACTTTGGATGAGCAGCGCGCAATGGAGAAGGCCATTTTTTCGGTCGTGGATTAAATTTTGAAGTTTTTTCGGAAATTGAGTCCCAAAAAACGGGCAGATTTTGGAGTGGCAGTGGTGGTGGCGAGAAGGAGTGGATGGAGAGCCGAGCAGAAAATGTGATGGAGTCTGCGTTGGATATTCTTCAGCTGGTCACAAGACCCCGGCCGGCAAACAAATTGAACAGAGGGGCAAACACCAAGGCCGTCGTCATCTAGAAATTTCCATGAAAATTTTTATTTTTTCATAAAAATACTAGAATTTTTAAATAAATTTGTAAAATCTTCTACAGAAACTTAAAATTAAATCTCTGCATGAAAAAGATATGCTAAATTGTAATTTGCTTTCAAATTGAAATCACGATCGTCGTCGTCACTTGTAAATTTACATGAAAATTTTTGTTTTCAATTATTTTTATAAAATATGACAATTTTTTAAAAATAAACTTATAAAATGTTGACAGAAAAAATTAAATGAAGTCATTCAATAAAAAACATGCAAAAATTCAAAAATTGTAATTCATTTTATTCTATTTTTTTAAAATTTTCGGCATCAATTTCATAAATTACTGGCTAACAAATTTTTGATAACTGTATTGTTTCAAAGTTATAAATTCTAGTATTATACATTTTTTAAGGTTGCAAAAAATTTTGGCATGCAATTTTCTCGTCGTGCCTGTTTCCTCCATTCTTGCTCTTTATGCTGGGCAGATGGCGAACCAATCGTCAACTTCGAGTTGCAACTTACTTTTTGAGATTTTGGTTTGAGATTGATTTTCATATGGAAAGTGAAATTCTCATATTTCTCAAGTTGTTCAAAAATATATGAAAACTTGTTAAAATGCAGTAACAATATATGTAAATAAGATTCCTCAGTTTTTGACCACTTCAGTAATAAATTGAAACTTACTAAACTTTAGAGATCATATTTTGTTTGGGAATAAATTTTCATGAAAGTCTCATCTTTCTCGTTACAAAAAAATACATGAAAAACTTGTTAAAATGCAGTAAAGTCATGTGAATAAAATTACCCCCAGTTTTTTTTACCACTAGTAATAAATTTATCCATTTATTCATCAATAATTTCCAATCAATCAAATCAATCAATAAAATCAATTACAATTCATAAACCAACAAAACCACGTATAATAATCAATTATGCTAACTAACACTGCTTAAAATTTTTATCATTAACACGAATCACCATTCTGCATGAAATAATTTTAACTTAAAATCAATACTTTTTTTAAGTCGTAATTAGTAAAATAAAAGCAGTTTTAATTAAAATAGAGTCGGTCGAGCTTCTTGTTCTCAATTCAGGTCCAAGTTCGGCAGGCAGTGTTACATAATAAAATGATGAAGATTACTAACCACATCCATCCATCCAATCAATCAGCATATTCAGGAAAAGCAGTGTACTTTAAATATCAATTAAGTACTATCCCATTAATTAATTAATTAATCATCACCACGGATGAATGACGATAAATGCCTGATTATTACCAGTATTAAGAACAAATATCCGCATATATAGCACCAACCAGCAAGATATAATAATCAGCTTTTTTAATCTACCTTTATAGCACGCATTAGTTAATTGTTTCGTAAATTGCAAGAATAATTAACTCAACAAATGAAACGGACCTATTTTGCACAATATTGCACAATTCTACAACTATTTTTCCTCTACGGCGTCCAAATCTAACTAAAAAAATTTCTAGATTTTTTTTCAAATTCAGCTACAAACTGGTATACAAACTGCTAATTTGCTAAATATTTACATTAATACACACACCGGTAATTGTAATTGTAATTAATTAATAATACGTCCTTGAGTGATCAATTTTGCAAACGTGTTATAAATTATTGTTACATACATATTATTATACAGTACAGCATCATCATTAGTTAGTTAATTATTTAGTGATTAAAATGTGGTATTTTTTTCTGGAAATATTCATAATTTTAAGAAATTCCATATGACATGAGATGAACTACTACTACCCGTAGTTGGTTTACATGTGTCATACAATTCATGAAATTCGTACAGGGTGCAGTAATAATAATTAACTGAAATCATTAATTAACTAATTATTATTCTAACAATTAATTACTTTTTACACACTTTTTACCAATATACACTTTTTCCCTAAGAAATACATATGTAAATGGTTAATTTGCTCAATTTTGCAATGTACAACAGCTAATACTGATCCGATATCTGACTGATGTCATATTTATTTATGACTTTTTAAACTGCCACAATTAATTAATTAACCACTTTTTTACAGGTGCCTTAACTTAATTTTTGCTTATTTAACTATGAACGTACACAAATTAAATATTTTTTCTAACTAATCAAAATATTTGTATCGTTAATCGTTATGTTAAATGCCTCGAAAAAGTGAAAGTGAGTGAGCCCAGACCAGAATTTTTTTGTGAGATTAATAATCCGGAATAAAATATATGTACACATTTTACCCTATTTTTTCTTTACACAGGATTGTTCTTTTTGATATGTTGCGTGTGATGTCTGGTGAAAGTTGGAGTGAAAGTTGATTTGGCTCCCTTTATGCCTACCCGACTTGCGCCAATGTTATATCTTTAACATTGGCGCAAACGAGTCAAGTATAAAGGCAGCTTTATGAGGTGATTATTTACATAATAATTAGTATCTTATTTTTCTGTGGCCCTCTCCTTTCCCACCAGCCGATTATAAATATTTAAATACCCACATTTAAATTCTTAATTGTTTAATTGTTAATTAATTAGTGAATTAATTAATTGCTGACTTTACTTTGTGAATGGAGGACATGGTGCATTTACATATATGATAATAATGATTACAAGGATATGTCTCAGGTTCCAAGAAGCTTCAAAGGTTGTAGGTCATCAAGTGAGAAGAAGTGAAGAATTTTAACATTAATTAATGATTAATTAATTAATTATTTACATAATTTACTTGACACTACCAACTAAACTACCTGGAGGTATATTAATTAATTGGTATTAACAAATCATACCAGATTTCTCTCTCTTTCTACTTGGCAGTAAATAACCTGAATTATGTAATGTAACAACAAATGAGAATCGTATGTATCATGATCATCACCACTTGCGTTTAGTAATAAGCAGTGGCCGCGGAAGCTGTGCGGGGATATTAACATTGTAGGATAGGGCATGGGAGTGGTTTATTTAACATGATAGGGACATTATCCCCGGTCCCCACCCTTCCGCGGCCACTGGTAAGAAGAATACCAGAGTTCTAATGCAAATATCGGGCTAAAAACTACCACAAAGTTTTTACATGGTAAATATTTCGCTGGCGTTTAATAATATGCAGTGGCCGCGGAAGGCGTGCGGGGACATTAATATTGTATGATAGGGAAGAAGGGGCTGGTTTATCTAAGATGGAGACATTGTCCCTCTGTCCCATCCTTCCGCGGCCACTGGTACGAAGAATATCAGAATTCTAATGCAAATATATCTCCCTAAAATTTTTACATGGTAAATATTTAATATTTTACCCTCACTTATCATCATTTACTTATCATCGCTACATAAATACTCGTAAATGCCGGAGCTACTTCGAACTGGGTGCATGCTTGTTCTGAAAAAGTGTGCTTGTCGACGTTCCTGAGAGGATCATGGAGACGGACAGGGTGGCCATGACGAGGAGGAGGAGGGACGAGGATGACGACTTATTCCCCCCGAAAAGAAGTGACCGCGATGCTCCACTGATTTCTCCGTACAATTTTCGACAGTCGCCCGGCACTGAAAATGGGAACAAATTAATGGTTCATTAGTTAATTAACTACGATTTTAAAATTGTAAAATCTGTATTTTGTTTTCTGTACTGGATACTGTTCAAAAAATAATTTTGGATGTCTAAATTGTTCAAAAATGATTTTGGACGTCCAAATTGTTCAAAAATAATTTTGGACGTCCAAATTGTCCAAAAATAATTTTGGAAGTCTAAATTGTACCAAAATAATTATGGACGTCCAAATTGTTCAAAAATAATTTTGGATGTCTAAATTGTTCAAAAATGATTTTGGACGTCCAAATTGTTCAAAAATAATTTTGGACGTCCAAATTGTCCAAAAATAATTTTGGAAGTCTAAATTGTACCAAAATAATTATGGACGTCCAAATTGTTCAAAAATAATTTTGGACGTCCAAATTGTCCAAAAATAATTTTGGAAGTCCAAATTGTCCAAAAATAATTTTGGAAGTCTAAATTGTACCAAAATAATTATGGACGTCCAAATTGTTCAAAAATAATTTTGGACGTCCAAATTGTTCAAAAATAATTTTGGAAGTCCAAATTGTCCAAAAATAATTTTGGAAGTCTAAATTGTACCAAAATAATTATGGACGTCCAAATTGTTCAAAAATAATTTTGCACGTCCAAATTGTTCAAAAATAATTTTGGACGTCCAAATTGTTCAAAAATAATTTTGGACGTCCAAATTGTTCAAAAATAATTTTGGACGTCCAAATTGTCCAAAAATAATTTAGGACGTCCAAATTGTTCAAAAATAATTTTGGACGTCCAAATTGTCCAAAAATAATTTAGGACGTCCAAATTGTTCAAAAATAATTTTGGAAGTCTAAATTGTCCCAAAATAATTTTGGACGTCCAAATTGTCCAAAAATAATTTTGGACGTCCAAATTGTTCAAAAATAATTTTGGAAGTCTAAATTGTACCAAAATAATTATGGACGTCCAAATTGTTCAAAAATAATTTTGGACGTCCAAATTGTCCAAAAATAATTTGGAAGTCCAAATTGTCCAAAAATAATTTTGGAAGTCTAAATTGTACCAAAATAATTATGGACGTCCAAATTGTTCAAAAATAATTTTGGACGTCCAAATTGTTCAAAAATAATTTTGGACGTCCAAATTGTTCAAAAATAATTTTGGACGTCCAAATTGTCCAAAAATAATTTAGGACGTCCAAATTGTTCAAAAATAATTTTGGACGTCCAAATTGTCCAAAAATAATTTAGGACGTCCAAATTGTTCAAAAATAATTTTGGACGTCCAAATTGTCCAAAAATAATTTAGGACGTCCAAATTGTTCAAAAATAATTTTGCACGTCCAAATTGTTCAAAAATAATTTTGGACGTCCAAATTGTTCAAAAATAATTTTGGACGTCCAAATTGTTCAAAAATAATTTTGGACGTCCAAATTGTCCAAAAATAATTTAGGACGTCCAAATTGTTCAAAAATAATTTTGGACGTCCAAATTGTCCAAAAATAATTTAGGACGTCCAAATTGTTCAAAAATAATTTTGGAAGTCTAAATTGTCCCAAAATAATTTTGGACGTCCAAATTGTCCAAAAATAATTTTGGACGTCCAAATTGTTCAAAAATAATTTTGGAAGTCTAAATTGTCCCAAAATAATTTTGGAAGTCCAAATTGTCCAAAAGTATCAAACATTTTTGCAAATCTATGTATGCAAGGACATATAATTTGGCATTAAGTTCGTGCATTTTGGTTGGTCTGTAATACGACGAAATTTGGAAAAAAAACTTTTGCTTTGACATGTTTTCTTTGGAAAAATTTTGGTTTTTCTTATAAGAAAGTAAGAAATTTTCTAAACCACGTGCTCAAAATTGCACATGCGTCAATGGATTATCAAAATATTCAATAATAAAGAACTTTCAACATTTTCTAGTTTGAAAACTTTTGGGCATTTTGAAAGTCCAAAATTTGGTGTCCAAAACTGCTTAAAACGTGTATTGGACAGTGGTTAAACCCTGTGGATAATGCTCCTTACCAGGCGCGATGTGTGGTAAGAATTCGTTCCAAAATGCGCACGTGTGCGCGCGGGGTCCTTTCCCGGTTCCGCGAGTGTCCGCATTCAAGATAAAGTAGTTGGGTTGCGCCTTCGTGTAAAGTGGCCACGGCTCAGTCGGGTCGTCAACGGGTTTCCTGCCGAGAAAAAAAAAACATATCTCCAAAAATCAGTTCCCCACAATTTTCCCAAAATTTCCAATCACCAACAGTGGCCGCGGAAGCGTGGGACAGAGGGACAACCGGTTATTCGATGTCCCCATCATCTGCCCATGTTATATAAGCCCCTGCCTCCCCTATCCTACCATGTTAATGTCCCCGCACAGCTTCCGCGGCCACAATTTAAAATTATTTATTGATTAGTTCATAAATCTATATATAAAAATATTTTTTAGAGCATTTCAAAAATCTCAAAATGCAGGAACCCTTCAAAAATTCGTAGTATTTACAAACAGGACATTTTATTATTTACACACATTCCCGTGCCATCGTCGAACAAGAATTAAGCAACATTTATAAAGCTTAAAGCCGACAAAAAGTAATTAAATAACTCGAACGAAACATCGCAAAGAAGCGTTTCAAGTTTTGTAACATATAAAAACTTGGAAAATCAGTGGCGGCGGAAGTTGGGGGACATTTGCATTGTGAAATAGGAGGAGGAATGGCTTATTAACATAGGAAAGATAAGATATTTCTGAATTTCTGGGGGGGGGGGGAATGTCCTCACCACTTCCGCCGCCACTGCTTTGGAGTAAATGGAATTTCTTCCTCTCACGGGCAAGGTCCGGATATTATACGTGACACGACAACAACCACCACCACCACCACGTTCTCAAATTCATTCAATTTCACTACATCCGTTTTCTCCAAACTTTCTCCTTCCGCAAACAAACAAACAAACAAAATATGTACGTCTCGTCGTCGCCTCTTAAAAGTACAAGAACCGACGCGATACCACATTGCGATCCAGAGAATGAAAAACGAAACCAAATATCCGCTCAAAAACAATGGTACTTTCACCGAAAAAAACTTTCACCCGGTCAAAAATACATACATACATATTTACAATAAGGAATAAAAACTGGAGAAAAAACAGCCTGATTTAGCCCGAGTCAGATTGTTACTAATAATTGAGAGATGGGTGCAATACGACCACTAAATATTGTGCTAATCTTCTAATCGAATTAACATAATTCCTTATTTTGCGTATTCAAAAATGTTCCCAAAATTTCAAGTCGATTGGATAAGTTTTACGAACGTAATCGACATACAGACAGACAGACAAGCACGGCAGGTACATAAGACTCGGCTCGGGCTAAAAGTAAAAGTATGTATAAAAAAGAAAAATAATAATACGTGAAAAACTTGGATGTGGCATTTTCCACATATTTTGCAAGTCTAAAAGTGCCCGTGTTACATATTTTCCACGTGTACATGATGTATCTAGTAACCTATGGATAAAAGTAGTTGGTGCCTTATTGCCTTATCTGAATGATAAGTGTTATGACATTATGCATATCCTCATATCTCCTCTTGTTTGAGAGAAAGAAAGAGGTTGGTTGACACTTGAAAAATCCTCAATCTTTGTCACTCTCAATTTATTCATCTCATCCTCAGTTCTTCAGTATAGTTCAGTGGCGGCGGAAGTTGGGGGGCGGGGGGGGACATTAGAATTTTGGAATTTTAGGAGTAGGAGGGATTTATTAACTGTTAATTAGCATGTTGTTAGCATGGATAAGATACGATTTTACCTAACTTCTGAGATGACAATCATACCTGTTCACTTTCATTCATTTAATTGAATATGATAGTAAATGAAAATGAATTTCCCATCATTTGAATGAAAATGACTGAAGGATTACGTCATTTCAGATGAATGACTGTGAATAAAAGGATTTTCACTCATTTCATTTTTCACCCCATGCTTAAGACATTGGGCGAAGTAAGAAATGAAGTCCGATGAAGTGAAATGAAATGAATTTGAAAATAACGAAAATGACTGAATGTGGATAAAAATCTTCAGTCATACATAAATCGGCATGACTGACTTTTGAATGAAAACTAAATTTTTGAACAGGTATGGTCAATGACAATGTCCCCATTCTTCCGGCGCCAATGGTTCATACGTAGGCATTGTTGTGCTCGAAAAAAAGAGACGTCGACCCATCCATCACATTCTCATGGTCTTCTTTTTCTACTTCTACACAACGGCAAATATTGATTACTTTCTCCTCCATCCGCTGAATCTATCTATCTCCTTGTCTGGTTTATTTGTCACACACAATAATTTCTCCAAAGTGGCAAAACTCAAGTAAAAGTAAAATTTCGCTTGAAACTTGATTTCTGTTCAGAGATCGGGAAATTGTGCAGTGCATTGTTTCCAGGCGAGGGATTCGTCTGAAGGAGGTCTGGATAGTTTGCTGGTGGAGAAAGTTAACAAGATTTGTTTATTTACACACCTTCCCCGTGGACGAGTCTGACTCAACTTTACTCCTACAACCAACTTCTCCAGGGTTTCTAAGGGTTTCTCCAGGCTCGGGGTAGTTATCAGTTTAGTTCGCAGAGTGTAAGAAGTAACCACGTGCAAGAAATAAGGAGGAGAAAGTGGTTTCTTGCAGGGAAATATTTTGGCCTGCAAGAAATTCAAGGCGCTAGAAAGAAACTTTGACCTTTTGTTTTTTAATTCATACGGCGCGTGGCTGGATGGTGCATATTTCTGGCACTTTCTCCCAGTTTCTTGCACCATGAATTTCTTGCTTTCCAGTTCAAGAAATGTAGTAAACCCGCATGAAACACTAAACTTCTCGCGCAAAACTAAAATAGCTACAAATTTGCATCATTCCCTTTAGCACAATTAAAGCGTAGGTTAAGCACACAAAGATCCAAAAAGACATGTAAATTTTGGCTAAAAATATACACGTGGGAACAGTGCACTTCATGCAATTTCCACCCCCACCCCCACAAAACAAAGCCAAGGCTAGAGAGAGAGAGAAAAGTAAAAAACGAGACGAGAGATTAGAGTGACTTTTATTGTGTACAAACCACTGTTCCAGAAAGTGCTGGATGTTTGGCGACGTGACCGAGTTGACCGAGTGGTCGTCACCTCCGCCGCCCAAGAAACTGGTCGTCGTCGTCGGCGAGGTCGTCGAGGTGGAGACAAAGTGCTGGTCGGGCTCAGGGGGAGGAGGAGGCGAGGGGGCAACAGCCACAAATTCAGCACCACCACCACCACTTTTTTTGTGTGGGTGCAAAAAAACACACATACAAACAACAACAAGGTGAATCAGGGATACGTATTCTACATACATACATCAAATCTATACATGTTTATACTCATTTGCATACATTTCTTAACTATTGTTAAGCCAATTTCATGTTTCATGCAAAGAAAATCGTGCACATACCGGATTTATGTAACGTAGGACTTGATAAATCGTCACCAAAATCAGCACATTTTTAATGATTTCTGCGGTGTGGGAACTTATTTTAAAATTCTGAGCGATAAATTCGTAGAGCAGAGATTTGTAGAGCAGGTCACTGCCAATTTTTTGAAAATATACGCTCAAGACTTTGAATTTTTTTTAAAAACGAGAAAGTTTAAGAAACCTTCAGAAGAACTTGAACTCGTCGAAACTGCCTTAAAAAACTCGACGCCATTCCATTAATCAACTCACTGACTGCAAATTTGTCGTCCAGAATTTTAAAATAAGTTCCTAGAGGCGAAAAATGGTTAAAAATGTGCTGATTTTGTCTATTTTGGTGATGAGTCATCTGGTCCTACGCTACCTGCCTATTTTTAAGCCAATTTAATTTTTCATGCGAAGCAAATCATGCACAAACCGTAATCCGTTTAACCTTTTCAGATTTTTCGAAAACAAGGATAAATCCAGGAAAAAAGATGGGTTAGAAGTATGCCATTGTCCACCCACGCCACACCCGCACTTTCTCCACCAGTACCACTTGACGTCTTACTTATTATTAGAACGGCCCACATTTTTCTCGCGTTAAGTGTTCTCATCAATGTCACCGCATTCCGAACCACTTTGGAGGATCAGGGGCCGCGGAAGCGTGGGGACAGAGGGGCAATCAGACACGGGAACATTATTGTCTCTGACAAGGTCCCCACGGCTATTTGATGTCCCTATCACCTCCCCACGCTATTTAAACCCTTCCCTCCCTTGTCTTATAATACTAAGGTCCTCACGCGGTCACTGAATTTATACAGTGGCCGCGGAAGCGTGGGGACAGAGGGACAATTTCCTCACAGTTATTCAATGTCCCCAGCATCCGCCCATCTAATATAAAACCCTCCCACCTCTATCTTACAATATTTATGTTCCCAGATGTCCCCACCCCCTGGTTCCGCGGCCACTTTTGGGATAAATACCTGAGAAAGCGAGTAGATTTCCTCCTCCGAACAGAGAAAGATGACCCGTGACGAGGAAGGAAGCGGAGTAGCTTTGATTTTGTGTGCGGGTGGACAATGACATTCCTCACGCTTCGTCTTTATCCGAAAGAAAGAATCATTTGACTTCGTGTCACTTCACGGAAAGCAAAGCCACTTCACCTTTCTCTCCCAGCTCCAATGACACCACGTACATACGTACTTTCTCCTCTTCTAAAAACCCCAGCCAACCAGCTAAATACGAAAGTAAGACGAGAAAAGTGGGGAAAGTTGGACCATCATCACCGGTTGCCTTTCACCTTTTCTCCAAAATCTCGCTTTTCTTCCCGAATTGGGCACGATTTAGGATAAATTTTGACGTGGCAGTTACTTACACGAGAAAGCATTATTACATTCAATTTAGTCGTTTTTAGTCGATTATTTTTCTTCTAGGGGGAAATTGGAAACTTGCATTTTTATCGAGATCATGATTCGCTTATTTTTAGTCATTTTAGCCACATTTTTTAGTGTAAAAGGCTTCAGCATGCTCACAGCTCATCTCATCTTCAGTCATGCACAAACGTATGTAAAGTTGAAATAGATAAATATGTAAATGATCATTAGTAAATATTTATGAAGTAGTACCCGGTGTCGGCGAAATGTGTGAAATATTTCATGATCCTCTTGGACAGTTCTTTTTCCCTGGTGGTCCACGTGTGTTCCGGGTCTGTGGACTTGCCCAAGGGGAAGCCGAAGACGTACTCGATCTCATCCGCGTGCATGACACCCATCCAATCGCCCCACGGATTGCTGCTTGTCCTCTGGAATAAAACAATTTAGTAAAACATGATCCCCGAGATGTTCACGTCAATTTTTGTAAACTCGGCAAATCTCCCAAAATTAGGGCAAAAAAATTGATAAATTGGCAACAAAAATAGAGACGCTGTGTCAGAATCATTTATGAAAATTTGGTATTGTTGCAAAATACTCTACTTAATTTCGTACTTTACAAAACTTGGATTTAGTTTCACTCGAATGTTCGCAAATTTTGTAAAATTGTCTAAAATTATGTAAAATTGGTAAAATTGAGTACATATTTAGTAATGTAACATTATGTCAAGTGGTTCACCGGTAAAAAAATGAGTGAAATTTGTGTAAATTTTGTAAAAATTGGGTAAAATTTAATAAAAATTTTGTACAATTAGCGTAAAATTATGTAACCTTTGTAAAATTTGTGTATAATTGTGCAAAATGTGTGCATAAAATTAAGTAAAACTTGTGCAAACTTTATAAAAAAGTGTACCATTACCCACCACACAATTTGCACCTATTTCAACTTTTAAACCGAACTGAAAGTTTGTAAATTACAAACCGCGGCGTTAATGTTGCTCCAACAAAAATGTAATTTGTGTAAATACCTGTGTGAAGAAGTAGTAATAGACGGGGGCTCCATGTTCGGCGTAGGATTCGGCGAATCGGTTGGTGGGGCAGATGAAGTAGTAGTCGGCGACAAACTCGTTGAACTTGTCCCTGATTTTGCACGGGTCCTCCACGTCCTCCCAGTGGGTGTACTGCATAACAAACAACAACGCACACTAATTTTCTATGCCTCACATATGTAACCAAAGTTCACGGTACATAACGCATCCAGTGTTTCGGGGGGAAATAAGTGACCACTTGCAAGAAATAAGGGGGAAAAAGTGGTTTCTTGCAGGTAAATATTTTGACCTGGGAGAACTGCAAAGTGCAAGAAACTATGCCCCCCCGCTATAAATAGTTCATACGACGCGAGGCTAGATGGCGCGTATTTCTTGCATTTTCTCCCAGTTTCTTGCACCTCGCATTTCTCGCGTTTTTTGCTTTGCTTTGCAAGAAATGTGACAAACCTGCATGAAACGAAACTCTCTAGAAGAAATAAGTGCAAGAAACTGGTTTTATGCAATAATTTTGACCTGCAAGAAATGCATGGCACAAAAGAGTGGTTTCTTGCAACTAAATATTTTGACCTGCAAGAAATGCACCGTGCAAGAAACTACGCCCCGTCGCTATACTTCATCATACGACGCGTGGCTAGATTGGGCATATATATTTCTTCATTTCTTGCACTTTTTCGCAGTTTCTTGCACCTCTCATTTCTTACATTAAATGTAAGAAATTTTCTCGCTTTGCAGTGTAAGAAATGTGGCAATTTTACAAGGTATACGAAGCACTTAATTCGTTCTTTTCCCTACTGCCCCAAAATTCGTCAGAAAGGTACCTTTTCATTACGAGGACAAGAGGACCGACCGCTTTCTCTAATTGTGAGTAATTTTCACCATTGACTTGACATTTCCTAACCAAACTTTCTCTCTCCACCCTCGTCCCGGTGGTGGGACAGGGGCAGGTGCTTCATTTCCGTAACGTACACTCTAAGCAATCTGATAAGAATAAAGAGTGTCCCCGACTTCTTATCTTCATTATCCGCAAAATTAACACCCTGATTTACAATTTGCATTAAATTTTTAGCAGAAATCTACAATTATTTAGGGATACTTTTGTTCTAAGGTTGTTTTCAATTCGAAATTTTTCGATTAACGCAATCGTTAGTAATTTGTAAAATCTGTGCGTTTTGTAAAATAATGATAAAACTTTTACAAAATACAAAGATACCTTTGATCTAAGGAGTAATAAGTTTCCAAAAATATGTGAACTAATTTTCCTCAGAAATATATATAAATTCTGCGAAAGTTTGTAAGTTTACAGAATTCCTGGATTTTACAATGCGAGAATTGCATCATTGTGAAAATAATGTGGTATGCAAAATGGCACCGAGACTACAAACATTTTATACCCGTAATTGGTAAAGAAATTAAAAAATTTGGGATTCGTGAATATGAATTTTGTAGAAAATTATTACCTATTCATTTTTGATTGAATTTAAATTGTTAAATTAAATTGTTACCAATTCGGTAATAAGTAAGTGTCATACGCCATCGGGGAAAATTTATATTGTCACCACGCATAATTTAGAGTGCAGATAATCGTCTACGTGCATCTTTTCTAGCCAAAAACTTAAACTGACCCATCTGACGGTCCCAGCACCCTCGGGAAACAAAAAAGTTAAAACTTTCTCTCTCCTCCACTTTTTCTCCCACTTTCTTTCAAGGAAGAAAATAAATACAAAAAAGTTGAAATTGTGGGAAGAAACAGAAGGAGAGAACAATACGGGAAAAATATATATCTTTTCCTAACTCATTGCACTCGGCTCGGGGGAGTTATCAGTTTAGTTGGCAGGGTGTAAGAAGTAACCACGTGCAAGAAATAAGGGGGGAGAAAGTGGTTTCTTGCAGGGGAATATTTTGATGACCTGCAAGAAATTCAAGGCGTGAGAAAGAGCGCCCCGCCGCTATACTTCGTACAGCGCGTGGCTGGATGGCGCATATTTCGCGAACTTTCTTGCACTTTCTTGCACCTTGCATTTAATTCGTTTCTTACGTTGCAGTGCAAAAAATAAGTGCACGAAACGGGTTTTTGTAGCTATTTTGACCTGCAAGAAATGCAAGGTGTAAGAAACTCCTTCCCGCCGCTGCATATGTTTCACTAGATGGCGCTTATTTATTGCAATTTCTTGCACCTCGCATTTTTGCACTTTCTTGCACCTCATATTTCTGGCATTTTCTCCCAGTTTTTCGCACTTGGAATTTCTTTTCTTTTGCAGTGCAAGAAATGTAGCAGACCGACCGCAACAAACGAAACCCTGCCATTTATTTTTTTCTTTAGTTTTTACTCTTCTTTTCAGTTTTCACCAGAAACTAATAAGTTTTCCTAAAATTGAATGGGAAACAAACCGACCTGAAATCTGATTGCTGCTTGTTGAGCGTTCGTCAAGTTTTTGAAGACGTCGCTGACGGTGTCGAGAAAGAGTTTATTGTCCATGCAGTTCGGACCCTCTTTGGTGAACTGCTCGATAAAGTCGTACAAGATGAAGTAGGTTCCTGTAAAAAATTAAGAGAAAACAAAATCAGATTTGTCAGGGGACAAAGACGATTTAATTATTTTAGAGTATACAATTTTAGCAAGTTTTTAAGACAGATGAAGTATGATTGTAGCAAGTTTATCATCAATAAAATTCATGAAGTGATTCCTAAATGTTGGAAATGGCATTAATGAATTTTAAAAAAATCCAGTAAAATCTCATTAAATTTACAAACTGAACAAAATCTACGTCATTAAGTTTATAAAAGTCACGAAATTTATCAAATCTGTACAATCTGCAAAATCTGCAAAAGTCGTGAAATTTATAAAATTCACAAAATTCATGAAATTCCACACAAAATCATATTTGTAAGGTGATAAAGACGATTTAATTATTTAAGAGTGTACAATTTCAGCAACTTTTAAAGACAGATCAAGTATGATTAGTAGCAAGTTTATCATCAGCAAAATTCATTAAATGATTGCTAAATGTTCGAAACTTACCAAATTTTTGACATTAACAAAATTTGCAAAATTCACAAAATTCGCTAAATTTACAAAATCTACAAAAGTTGAAATTTATGGCATTCACGAAATTTTTAAAATCCACTAAAATCATGAAATTTACAAACTCTACAAAATCTACATCATTAAGTTTATGAAATTCATAAAAATTTATATTTAAAAATTCAAGAAATTTACAAAATCCACAAAAGTTACAAAATTTATCAATTTTGAATAATCTGCAAAACTCGTGAAATTTATCAAATTCGACATAAAATCAGATTGTTAGGATGATAACGACAATTTAATTATTTAGGAGTGTAGAATTTAATAAGTTTTCAAAGCAGATTTAGTAAAATTGTTGGTAACAAATTTACCACTAACAAAATTCATGAAATGATTATTAATGTTCGACATAAATTACCAAATCTATGAAATTAACGAAATTCACAAAGTCATCAAAATCAAAACCCCAAAATTCATGAAATTCACCACAAAATCAGATTTGTAAGATGGCAACGACGATGAGATTATTTAAGGGGATCAGGGAACTTAATAAATCCTAACAGATTAGGTTCTACTCTATAATAATCCCACGAGACAATTATGAATATTATGAATGATATTTATCAAATTACCAAATCTACAAAATTCCTGAAATTTACAAAATTTACAGCGTTCATGAAATTCCCGAAATCAACAAAATTCATGAAAATCACATTTCCCGTGTCCTCCCAAGATCAATTTATCAACAAATCGTGACACTTTTTGAAAAATAAATATTGCCCACAATTATTATCCTTCTACTCACTAAATTGTTACAAACTCATAAAAATGCACCTAAAAAAATTAAGTACAAATTTTCTCACCAGGTCATCTACTTACGCACCTCAAAAATCTATTCCATTCCGTATTACATAATAATATCCTGCTGATTTTTCTTTAAAAATGCGCAACTTTCTTTTTCAATACACACCTCATCAGAATTTCTAATCCCGTTTATAACCAGACCAGAGGCTGCGGAAGTGTGGGTGGGGACAAAACAGAGGGACAATGTCCCCACGTTTGTTTGATGTCCTCATCAAATATAATCCTCTCCCCTCCCCCACCCTACAATGTTTATGTCCCCAGATGTCCCCTCGCGGCTTCCGCGGCCACTGGAGGTGGACATCATCCGAAGAGAAGGAAGATTTCACCAAAAAAACTCTACTTTCTCCATAAATTGGCAAACTTTCTGTGAGAAAAACGGACCGGACCGAGCGGAAGAAAGTGCAAGAAGTTGACTTGACTTGAGTAGCTCGTTTTGCCTCCGCCTTCGTTCTAAAGCAAGCTAAGTTTAGCCAGGAAAGGAAGTAATCTTTTAAACAAGTGAATTTTTCCGATGCTTTCTTTTCTAGCGGGACTAATGTGACCAAAACATGCGACCAGCCAAACCACCCACCTCCGACCTACCAGAAAGAACAACAACAACTTAAAAAGACGCCTCCACAAATTTCTAACCAAGATTTTTTTTGCCATTTACTAAAAGATTCAGTCAGATGTTAAACATTTATTTGTGTGTATTTCTTCTTTAACTCGACACAGTTATGTAATAATTTTTCAAATTTTGTTTCTCAAATGTTCCCCATTTTTTGTATTTTACTGCGAAACCATGCGGCTACCTCCATTTTCTGAAGGCACAAAAATTCGGACTGACCAACTAAAATTTCTGTAAAAAAAGCCTTCGAAAAATTGGTAGGAATTTCGTTAACTCGATCAAATTACCTACATAATTTTCAAAATCTTTTTCCTCAAATGTTTCCCATATTTCGTCTTTATTTTCCATTCTCCCTCGCTTTCACTGAAAACATGCGACATGTATGTACATACCTCCAATTGAACATATTCCTGTTCACAAATTTAGTTTTCATTCAAAACTCATCATCCCGATTTCTGACTGAAGATTTTCATTCATTTTCTCTCAAATTCATTTCATTTCACTTCACTTCATCCGCTTCAGTTCTTACTTCGCCCAAGCATAGGGTGAAAAATGAAATTATTAAAAAATCCTTTCATTCACAGTCATTCATATGAAATGACGGAATCCTTCAGTCATTTTCATTCAAATGGCATGCAGGAATTCCATTTTCATTTACTATCATTCACCATCATAATCACTCAAATGAATGAAGGTGGTGAACAGGTATAATGGAACACACATATTCTGCCAGACCAACTAAAAGCAGATCCAATCTCAAAAATATTTAACCTACTTTATCCCCAAAATTGCATAAAAAGGTGCAAAATTTATCTGCATTTCTCCTCTAACTCGACACAGTTGCGTAATAATTTAAAATTCTTTTTTCTCAATATTTCCCATTCTTTTCTCGGCTCGTACGACGCCACAGTACGCCGCACGACTTCCGCTTTGAAGGCAGCCTCCCACCGAGGAAAGCCTATTATTCCCCATTATCCGACCCATTTCTCAACATCAGAGGACGGCCAGATTTCATTTTACACGTGTCTCGTGCCTCATGTCACAAAAAGCGGGGGGACGAACGGTCTCAAATCCAAATTCCAATACAACTGCGTATTATACATACGTTACACACATCAAATCCGTATTTTCCACCTGATTTATATCTTTGTGCAATTGTCATTCCTTTCGCCCTTTTTTGATCTGGTCTCTCTCCTGTGTGTCGTCAACTTCACTCGCTTTCTACGTTAGCTCCACGGGGGGAGAAAGTGTGCAGAAATTCGTGCGTGGAGTGGACATATAGATCGGTGCATATTTTTTTCCTAGGTGAAAATTTCTTAAAATATTAATTTTACCCGTCTGATACATTTACATGTATAAAGTCAAATTAGCCACTGGCTAATTAAATCAAATGGACTGGCTAATCTTGGCAAAAATTGAGAGAAAGTGTGCAGAAATTCATGCGTGGTTGGTTATCTTGTAGATTTTTTGTATACATTTTTTTGTGTGGGTAAAACAATTTCCTAAAAATTAATTTCCCACAGCCCAATAAATTACGGGTGGCACATATTTTCTTGAAATTTCTTGCAGTTTCGTGCACCTTGCATTTCTTGCATTTCACGCTTTGCAGTCCAACAAATGTAGTAAACCAGCAAAAAACCAAACACTGCCTCGCAAACTCACTACGTTCTTATTCACGAGAGGAGAAATTCATAGATTTTTTGCACATATTTTTCCTGGGTGTAAATTTCCTAAAATTAATTTCCCCCTGACTTACATAACCCTACATACAATCAAATTAGACCAAATTGACTAGCTAATCTAGGGAAAAATAAATGCATCGCGTGTGTAAATGCATCTGATTTTTGTTCATGTCATGCAACCCTCACTTTTATTAATCTGGATTATGTATGTATCATACAGTGTCGGACAGATATCTACGTCCACATAGTCGCGTCAATTTCATTTTCAAATTGTCACTGAACTACTGAACCAATTTTCATCATTGATATATCAAATTCTCACAAATTTAACGTAATTTCATAAAACATATGAGTTATTTCTGAAAATTCTGGGAAAACTGAGAATCATAGTGCAGAGCGAGAGAGGATGAAATTTGAGCGGACAAAAGTCTACGTCCACTTCACTTTAATTGTCAACAACAAAAATCTCTCCAATTTATAAAATCAGGTAACTTAATAAATCTATCAATAACATATGCCGCATTAATTTTTAAATAATTTTCTTCCAGAAAAATATGATGGCGTCGACACGCAAGGAAATTCCTATCGCTATTCGAGATCTTGTCATTCAGGACTGGAAGGGTGGACAAAAAGGGGGGCTGTCGCAGAGACAAATAGGGACCAAGTATAAATTAGCAAGGACAACCATCCAGACAATCATTAAGAACTTTAGAGCTAATGGTTCAGTCCAAAACAAGGTCAGAAGTGGTCGAAAACCGATTTTGGCTCACCGAGAAGTACGCCACGTGCTCAACAAAGTCAACGTTACACCCTCACTTAGTGCTCCAAAGCTATCTACCGAGATCAAGGAGATGTTCGGCAAACAGGTTAGTCCTATGACCATCCAAAGAACACTGAATAAGGGAAATTTGAAATCCCACAGAGCAGTCCGGAAGCCTCTTATTGTACCGAGGAATGCAACCAAACGAGTGAAGTTTGCCAGAGACCACATTTCCAAGCCACAAACATTCTGGGACATATTTTATGGACTGACGAGTCAAAGTTCAATGTCTTTGGGTCAGATGGGCGTCGTAGAGTGTGGAGATATCCAAAAGAAGCTTTGAATCCAAAAAATCTCAACCCCACAGTTAAGCACGGCGGCGGGTCGGTAATGGTGTGGGGATGCATGGCTTCAAGTGGGGCAGGAAAAATGGAATTTGTTGACGGAATTATCGACCAATACAAGTACCAGGGAATACTTGACCGTAATATCCAGGAATCTGTTCGAAAACTTGGACTTGGACGACGATTTGCCTTCCAACAAGACAACGATCCGAAACACTCTGCCACGTCCACCATGGAATACTTCAAGAAAAAAAAATTCCGAAGCTAGAATGGCCTCCCCAATCTCCAGACTTGAATCCCATTGAGCATCTGTGGGACCACATTGAAAGAGAAATAAGAAAAAAATCTTTTTCAGGAATTCCGGGCCTAAAATCCAGAATTCGTGAAGTTTGGGAAACCATTTCTGAAGATGTGACCAAGAATTTGGTAAACTCTATGACTCGACGCCTTGAAGCCGTCCTTAAAGCGAACGGAGGCCCAACCAAATATTAAAAATTAATTGTTATAACATTCCTTATAAATTACAGTTTTTTTTGTATGTTTTCTCTGACTGGACGTTGATTTTTGTCCATCCAATTGTTTTCATTTTGAATTAAAATACATCTCTGGCCTAAAATAAATTTTTTAGCGGAAAACTAATAATGTGCTATGAAATTACGTTAAATTTGTGAGAATTTGATATATCAATGATGAAAATTGGTTCAGTAGTTCAGTGACAATTTGAAAATGAAATTGACGCGACTATGTGGACGTAGACATCTGTCCGACACTGTACATATCATCAGCCTGATGTGTTTCGTGCAGGTGTGAGTGAGTGAATGCATGACATGTATTTTCTCCTGGCATTACTGATCTCCTTTTCCAGATTGATTTCTTCACCTCGTTTTTTACCTGGCTCGATACCTACTCGATCGGATGCAGGGTGAGAGATAAGTACGGATAAAGGAGGTCTCCCAGCGTATGCGATCCGATTTTGAGCGAATTAGTGGAAATCGATCACGAATTTCATTTGTATGAAATTTGCGAAAGTCACCATCTCCGCACGTTTGGCAGAGATATTTGCATCCGAAGAGGAGACAACGATTGAAAGCAAGAAATAAAATATTTGTCAAGAAAGTATTATTTCTACTCGAATTTGCTTCTGTCCATGTACGATATCTTTTTAATAAGATATATTCCGTTTTTTTCAAAAAAATACACAAGCTGGCGTTCAGCTTGTTCAATATGTGTAAATTTAATTCACCTCGATTTATGCAATTATTTTTCTACTTGAAATTGTCACTTTAGAAAATAACAAATACTTCAACTACTCGCTAATATAGGTCTCCCAGCGTATGCGATCCGATTTTGGGCAAATTAGTGTGAATCGATCAAAAACTTAATTGGTATGTGCAAAAAACACGATCTCTTAATTAATGGGTACCTTTGGTAGAGATATTAATATGCAAATTTGCACCCGAAGAGGAGAAAATGCGTATTAAAGTCGACAAATTTTACACTTTCCAAATTTACAGCGCGTTTTCTCCTCTTGGGATGCAAATATCTCTGCAAACGTGCCCATTGGGAGATCGTGCCTTTTGCAAATTTCATACAAATTAAATTTGTCATCGATTGACACTAATTTACTTAAAATCGAATCGCATCCGCGGGGAGACCTCCATTTTCAGTTGAGCATGTTGGCCAACAAAAATTGGGTGATCAATATAGTCGATCGCATCGCATCACATCGCCTACCTTGATTTCGCACCTCATTTTCACCACTTTTTTTGTGTTCACAAGTTGACGAATGGATTGCAGCAGATTCACCTCATCCCCCACTCCCCACATATTTTTGGCACTCGTCCTACAACCGAATTCTTCCACCCAAACTCTTCTCTTTTTTTACAAAAAAAATCAAGTCTTCTGATCCAGTGTGCGGGGACATTAAAATTGTAGGATAGGGGTTTATACAACATGGGGAGATGATGGGGGCATCGAATAACCGTGGGGATGGATTGCCCCTCTGTCCCCACCCACCCTTCCGCGGCCACTGGTCTTCTCGCACGACGAGGCAAAAAGAGGAAAAGAACACGAAGTGGAGGGAGTGTAGGATATGGAAAAGTGGCCAAAAACACATCTGATCTCCACTCCACCGATCAAAAATCGAATCCTCGCAGTCGAATCCAATAATCGAATTCGTCCTCATCCACCCAACACCCGCTCCCTAATCCAAACATACTCATCGCGGATTGTACTACTTTTCGGGGTCGTTCTCTCATTTTTTTCTGATAATGTTTAGCAAGGTTAAAATGTGTTCAATAAAATTAAATTGTAGGGAAACTCGTTAAAATCATAGACAATTAATGGATACCTTACCTTAAATCATCCGATTTTCCGGTATTTCTGGTTCTACCATTTTTATGCGTTTCCGGTTGTTTTTTTTAGTACCATTTTTTCGGTATTTCCGATTGTACCATTTTTTCGGTATTTCAGACCATACCATTTTTAATGTGGTTTCGATTGTACCATTTTTTTGCATATCGGATTGTATCATTTTTCCGTGTTTCGGATTATACAATTTAATCGGATCTTCGACAAAATATTAACTTAAATGTTTCCCCTAAAATTAAAATGGCGTCAAACTTGTACAATTCACGATCCTTAAACTACTACATTTTTCTGTATTTCCAAAAATTTGGAGTGAAGACGAATTCCGGGATATTGGAGCTGGAGGTTACATAATACTGCCGATACGTATTTTGAAGGAGAGGAGTGAGTGGAATGCACTTGGGTGAAAGTCCCTGCAGATATTTGAGCTCAGGTGTTTCTTTTCCTCGCCTCGGATGAAAGTGCTCTTTCTTATTCCTCTTTATGCCTTTTTATTTTATTTTATCTATCCTCACTCCCATCCAACCATCACCATCCATCCCTCCAGCCTCTCCACTTTCACCACCAAATATGTATGCACGCTGGGACAGATTCGTGGCATCCTGGACAACCCGGTAACAATATGTCTTAAGAAATTTTTAGCTTAAAAATCGACCTAGAAATTAGGATAATTTTTAAAAAGTTATACAAGTCAACTCTGTAGATTTGCCCCTTCAAAAGTTAATGAAGGCTATCGTTTCTACTTTCACCACTTCACCACAAAATTCGCATAATCCTGGACAACCGTGGGAAATATGTATGTTAGGCGAAATTTTTGGCCTAAAAATCGACCCAAAAATTAGGATTATTTCATGAATTAAATCATTACCGTTCAAAAGTTAGTGAGGGTCAAAGTTCCAAAATAATACTTGTCTTAATCAATTTGACCTTCAACACTTGTGACCACGTTGACCTTTGACCCCGATTCTGTTCCTGAAAACAAAACAAGCAATGTCTCTTTTGCACTTTTTTGCGAAATTAGGAGCCCCTGAAGAAAGCTATACTTCAATATATGTTGCCAATTCATCATTTGCATATTTGGACGCCAAAAATATGAGCACTAGTTAACATGGAAGGTCATATTTTTAAAATAATCCTAATTTCTGGACCGATTGTTATGCCAAAAATTTACAACGGAGATATTTCCAAAACCGATAGTACATCTTAACCGTTTGTCCACAATTGTAGGAAATCCGGCCCACCGTGCATCCCTACTTTCACCACTCGTACATTATTTATTCTTGTTCTTCTGTGCACGAGATGACAAATGATTTCCTCCACTTTTTCTCTTCACCCCTCACAAAAAATAGCAAGTCCTTACCTTCATCATGATTTGACCCGATGAGCAAGGGGACTTTTTTGAAGTCACCTTTCGCCAACATTTCCATGGGGTCGCGCGGAATGAATTCCCCGTCGATCGTGGGAGCCGAGAAAAACTGCAAAATCTTGGCGTAACTGTTCCACTGCGTTTTCGAAATCACGGCGGCCGGAAGGTCGCGGAGACATTCTATTTTTTGCACGGTGTTCTAAATTCAGGGAATTAAAAATATATTCTCTGAGCGTTTCGAGCCTTGTTTTTATTTACACTTAAGGTTCCATTGCTTGCGGGTCGGTAATTTTTAGGTTTACAAAGTTAGGAGATCAGATTTTTAAGTTTTCTTCCATGAGAAAATAATAATAAAATAGTTACAAAAAATAATGAATACAAATTATATATGTTCTCCTGGAAGAAAAAAATCAAAATTCTAACCTCCTAAAATTTGCAAACCTAAAAATTATCGATTCTAAAAATCTAAAAATCGATAATTTTTAGAAGTAATACAAATCTTAATTCTTTTGAGAAGCGCACGGAGATGAACCGGTTTCAAAATCACCAATTAAAGTTGAGACACAAAAATTCAAATTCAAAGCCGGCATACAATGGACCCTTAATTATCCATGTAATTACCATCGAACTTCCATCGGGATTCGTGCAGTTGCAATCTTCCACTAATTTTTCCGCGATTTGACGCGCCTTTTCTCCCGTGTGCATCGACCACGGAGCGTTGATCGTACCGCTTTGGATTATCCCGCGGTCAATCAGGTGTCGCGAGATGGGCGAGAGGAGATGAATCGTTACGGAACTACCGCCTACAAATTTGAAAACAATATAGGTCAGAAATTTACGTGCAGACAGTGTTTCGGGTAGAAGTATGTAACCACGTGCAAGAAATAACGGTTAGAAAGTGGTTTTTGGAGGTATTTTGACCAGCACAAAATGCAGGGCGCAAGATACGACGCCCCGCTGCTATATTTCATACAGCGCGTATTTCTTTCACTTTCTCCCAGATTTTTGCACCTCGCATTTCTTGCCAAACCCGAAAGAAACGAAATACTGCACGAAAGTGCTTTTTTTGCAGGTATTTTGCCTGCAAGAAATGCAGGGCGGCAAGATACGATGCCCCAGCACGTGGCTAGATTTCTTGCACTTTCTCCCAATTTCTTGCACCTCGCATTTCTTGCGTTACTTCCTTTGCAATTATATTCAATTGTTCTCTATGGGCCGAAAGAGTTAGACAATAAATCACATACAATACAATAAAATACAATAGTTCCTTTGCATTGCAAGAAATGTACCTAACGAAACCCAGAATAACGTAAAATTTCGTCCGTAAATGAATACCTGCACTCTCTCCGAAAACGGTGATTGAGTTGGGATCTCCTCCAAAGCTGGCGGCATTATCTTTAATCCACTGCATGGCCACGGTCTGGTCGTAAAGCCCCATGTTTCCTGTCCACAAAGAGAATCATAGTCATGTAATAAGCGCTAAATAAACATGCCAAATGACAATACGTAATGAATGAAGGCACAAATATTGCGGTACAATAGTGTCCCCTGAGGCCTTCATAAATTCGAAATATTTATGTATATTTTTAGAAACGAAACGAAAATTCTGATTCACTTCTTCGGAAACGTAAAATTGGCTCAACTTGGAGAAAATCATGTTCGCCAAAAAACTACTCGAAAGTGTGATCCTTAAGAAAAAAGGTGGTATTTTCATTCCCAAAATGTGTCCTCATTATCTGAACACTTTCTCTGGAAAATTGTAACCTTGAACTCGCCTAGCTTTCTCCCGGAAGCGGTTTAAAATCAGATATTTACCACAAGCGGGTCCTCATCTTGACCCAGTTTTCGGAGTAATTTAGGCTCAAAATGTGTGTTTTACTAGGTTCGCGTTATCATGATCAGAGGGCGGATATGTATTTATTTGTAACGTTTTCATTTGATGACGATCAAACTTTGTGGGTGTACAAAAATTTCAAAATATTTTTACACATTAAGTTTTCAGACATATTTTTTTATAAATATTTCCGCTATTTTTCGAAAAATACGTAAATTGTTGCATATTTTTTCATAAATGCATATATTTCGCATGTATTTCAATGATGTGAGGGGAAATTTTTTTTGTTAACGAAATTTGACCGCAAAAAATCCAGAAGATTATGTAAATTTAAAAGTATAAAGTTTGCGAAATTTCCTATTTTTATGGTTTTGTTCATAAGTATTTTGAGTTTGACGTTTTTTCGCAAATATTAAATTCTTATGTAGGTATTTCAAAGATTATTCGTAGATACATATCCACCCTGTGATTATGTATGTATGTACAAATCAAACCCATGTCCATGTGCAAACTTGCCGAAACAGGAAGGGTTGTCCCGCACTTTGCGTAATCATCACCACTTTCATTTCCTTCTTTCTTGGTCCAAAATGCGGAACGGAATCGATATTTGCCATTAACAGAATCCCATCATGATTCAAAGGGAGGACGGAATAATAACTAAGTGGTCGCTCCACCAAAACTGCATACAACCAACAAACCCACACAGTGGCCGCGGACAGAGGGACAATGTCCCCACGGTGGTTATTCGATGTATTATTTGTCCATGTTATACTTACAAATCCCCTATAATAAAATTCTGATGTCCCCAGATATCCCCACAGTTTCCGCGGCCACTGAACAACGTTGATATAATGGACAGCATTAAAATTATTATACAAAATTTTGTATTCTAAAATTTTGTATATAAAATAGTTTGGCCGTCATGTGCCCATTTGGGTTTAGGGCTAAATGAGGACAAACCAGTATATCGACGCCCAAATCCGGACAAAAAATATAGACAAATCTAATCCTGGATATTGTTAAAATAAGGACACAAACACTAATGGTGGACATTTTTAGGTAGGTTTGGGCTTGTCCACATTTTTTTGTCCAGATTTTGCGTTTCCTAGGACCACGTTTCCCTCATTATGCCCGGAACCTGGTCCTCCTCTAATCTACAAGGTTCTAGTCCCCAAATGTTCCCACGGCTTCCGCGGCCACTGCGGAGAAGAGAAGTATGTCTCGTCCTCTTCGGCACTAATGAGATCTCATACCTCGAGCGAGATGGATCACTTTCACTTCACCTGCACCAGAGAAAGTCATCCTTCCCGACCAGGAGACTAAACAATCCTCCAGCCGTAATTATATCCTCCTCCTCACAAATCTCCACTTCTACACAAATAATAAACAATCTCTTTCCTAGAAATGTGTCGTAGGTATATAAATATCTGCCACCAATTAAACTAAATTCCTACAGAATGCAGGTAAGTATGTCAACCCTACAAAAATATGGTACGAAGGATACACTGTTAAAAATCTGGTCTTCGTGCTGGTATTGATTTGGTAATAATTTCCTACCGGATTGATAATAAATTGTTCCTGAGTGGTAAATTTTTCATTATCACAACATTACTGAACTATAATTCCCGCTAATACTACTTCCGGTAGAGTCACATGTACTCCGGTGGATAATGATTTAATATCAGTTTTCTAAGAGTGTATAAACTTAGAATTTCAAGGGTCATTAAATTGCTAAACATGGCGTAAAAATTGAGAAAAATTCCTACTTCGGGTGGGAGGGGCTTATCAATATGGCAGGGATATGCACCGTTATCCAATTTTGTACATATGTAGGTAACTTAACTCTGTCCCCTGTGTCTCCTTGCTTATGAAACAGATCCGTCCGTCCACAATGTGTCGACACAAATGACGCCACGCCACGCCACATAATGACGCGTCACACTACACAAAAGAGGCCATCACAAAGGAGTGAAAGTCCATTAAGATGAGTACGAACGTCGTGAGTTGATTAACGCGTATAATATTCGTCACATCATAACTACATATGCCACTCATCTCTTACTTTCTCCTGATCAAAGCCAAGGTTGCGTAGATTTAACCCAACTTTCTTTTTTACTTTTCGCCTTCCTTCATGATACATATGCATTTAACGTAACGTAACGTAACCTCGCCCTTGAAAGGAGTTTATCTATGTGTACTTTCTGCGTTGCAAATAATAATGCGAAATCCTGATCCTTATTGTGAAGCAAACAATAACAGAATAGAGAACAGAACACGGGTTTGTCCAGAGGGACGACTTTCTCCGGGATAAAGGTGCATTTATCTGTACCTCACTCACTCACTTAGGATCAGTGGCCGCGCAAAGGGGAAAGGACACGGGGGGACAATGTCCCCATGGTTGTTCGATCTACCCATATTATATAAAACCATTCCTACAATGCCTACAATGTTAATCCCCCCTATGTCCCCGCACAGCCTCCGCGGCCACTGGTTAGGACCATGTAGGTGCATTTATCTGTACCTCACTCAGCACCAGTGGCCGCGGAATCATCAGTCCCAGTCCCCACGGTTATTCAATATCCCCATCTTACATAAACCCCTATCCTACAATGTTTCTGCTCCCCCCCCAATATCCCCACGCACCCCTTCCGCGGCCCCTGCCCAGGCCCATGTCCCCTCTGAGAGAGAGCGAGAGAGGTATTTAATGGAAGGGATTAAGTGACATGACATGGGAACCGTCAACCTTGATCAGACATCACTTATTCATTCATCACCAGTTTACAGGCTATTTTCAGCCCCAACAAATATCTACAAAATGTCCAAGGACACGTAACCTACATGCGACCCTACGTGCATCTCAAGTAGGCCGTAAATTTCCGAAAAGTAAGGTGTATGTGCTTACAATTACTTTCTCTCCCTGGTGGAAATCTTAATTGTCACAATTACTACGGACGAGAATGATCTCTGATTAGTGACGAGGAGCAAAGTGCAAGCAATAAAATCCAATTTATTTCCTCCCAGACGACCAGACCAGACCACAATCAACTAATTCTCTCATCGACTAGGACAAGAACAAGAAACAGGGAGGAGGACGATAGCAATCTCAAGTTTAAGGTTTTATCCAGTCTTTTTCTCCAGCTCCAGCAATAAATCCAACCGCATCACCAACTGAATACCACGAAACCAATAAGTATCCACAACTGGTGGCACACAATCAATCAAAATTGGAGGACCCTTCCCTTTCAGGGGTGGCGGAAGAGGGGGGACATTGTCACCCAAGAAATTAAGAAAAATTCTATATTCCCAATCATACCTGTTCACTTTCATTCATGTGACTGTTATGAGAGAGAACGATAGTGAATGAAAATGAATTTCCTGTCATTTAAATGAAAATGAGTGAAAGATTCAGTCATTTCAGATGAATGACTTGAATGAAAGGATTTTTCACTCTTTTCATTTTGCACCATATGCTTAATACATGGAGCGAAGTTAGAAATGAAGTCAGATGAAGTGAAATGAAATGAATTTGAAAGAAAATGATTGAATGTATATTAATATACCCATCTTCCTCCTATCTCACAAAGCTAATGTCCCGCCAACTTCCGCCGCCACTGTTCCCTTTTCAGGGAAAGGCGACGCAGGTATGTATGAATTCCTTGGTCTCTAATTAATGTCGCTGGTGGATAGGATTGGATAAACATGGTAATTCTGCATCATCAAATAGAACTAAATGCACGACCAACCAGCAGCTTTCTCCTTTCGCTTTCCCTGATATAATTTATTTACGGGGATGATTCTCTCCAGCTTGGCATTCCGTCCGAGAAGAGAATTTCTATTCTTAGAAGGAAACAGAATCGTCACAAGTTTTGACAAGTATCAAATAATCAGAGGGCGGCTAGGTATTTACGAAAAGGAGCTGAAATGTGTATTTAATATTTAGGAAAAATCGCAAACATATTTACAAAATATGTAAGAACAAAAGAAGAATACATACAAATAAGAATTTTCACAAATTTTGTAACATTTTTAAATATTAATTCTCTGGATTTTTTGTCTTTAAACACAAAATTCCGTCTCACATCGTTCAAATATTTACGAAGTGTATGTATTTTTGAAAAAAATATCTAAAAGATTTATTGCGAATTTATTGCTTATGTCTGAAAACCTGGAAATATATTCCGACATGTGAAACAATTTTGAAATTTTAGTGATCTCTGCGAGTTCGGAAACACACCCACAAACCTTGACGGTCAGTCGTCATCAAACTTGAAAAACTTGAAAATAAATACATCCATATCCGCCCTCTGGTCCTAATAAATCTCCCTGGGAAAAAATTTTTGTCACGATTTCACAACCCTTACTGGCTGCCCTCCCTGGTCAGCAGATAACCTGCCAAAAATACCCGAGATCAGATCCCGGCCAATTCTGTGGACGAAACGGAACCTGCCCTAAAAATAGCTGATGCAAGCATTTAATTCAACGGGCAAAACCATCCCCATGAAATTTAATGACACTCTCGAAACGCAATTATTTTCGGACAAGGACAATTACACGATGACACGATGATCTCCCCGAACGGTCGTTGCATCTTTTATGCGGCCAAATTGCG